AGCTGGTGCTCAGTGATGCCACTGCAGCCCCGTGCCAGCGATCGCTGCTGCGCCGCATCCCTGCGACAGCCATTAGTAAGGTGATCCAGTAGCTGGTCAAAGCCTTCCGTAGCTATGGTAATGAAGGAACATAATTCACAATTACCGTGTCAAATTTAAACCTAGGGCTTGTGCAAAAGGACAAAAATAGCTCCTTGCTCGTGGGATCTCAGTGTTATTTGCTCAGCGCCACTGGAAGCTAAATGCTCTCCCTAACATCAAGCGGCCGCTCGGAGATTAAACACTTCTCGCGCGTCTGTGCACGCCTTGCCCCTCGATGGGGTTACCAACATGCTGGCTGCACTTCCAGTTAAGTGAATCCCTTTTGCAATGTGAGCACATTGCATAGGAATAAATAATTCAATTTGCAGGGCGTTTTGGGCTCAGAGGCATCTTTGCCCTGATGCAGCGCTGAAGACCCCCCTCACTTTCCCCATGCTTGGGTTCTCCAAGCAAAGCCCTCGAGGCCTTGTCTGGGTGCACACCTTTGATTTCCCCCCCTATCTCTGCCTGGTTTTGCCCTGGCCACTGCTCCCCTTCCCGCACACCTTCATCCCCTCCTTTGTCATGCCCCGTCCATCACAGCAATTACACTTGACACCATTCAGAGGAGGATCCCAGAGCCCCTGCAAACAGCCATTAGTTACAAGCAGCACAGCCTGCGCGCTGCGGAACTCGCAGTCGTCATTTCTGAATCTCACATGCAGAAATCTGTCTGTTTTCTGCCATTCTTTAACCTCCAAATGTTGCTTTCTTGGCACTTCCCCTAAAGCACATGTTCACGTTTTCAGCACGGAGCCCTGTTTCCCTGGATCCCTGCCCACACTCCCTGGGCTCGCATGAGCCACCACAGTCCCTGCGAGCATCCTGCCTAGAGCATCCTAAACCTGTGATAGCAGCAAACCCTGCTGCTGGTCCCTCTTCCCCGGGACAGGAGCCTTGGGAACGGCTGGGGCTGTCCTGTACTCTGCATGCAGCTTCCCACTGAAATCCCACTTTGGCAAAGCAGAGTGGGTTTGTGCTGTGGGATGCCTGCTGACAAAGGCTGTGCTGCTGGGAAGTAATTAAAATGGACAGGTACCAACCCCCCCCATCTTTGTCTTCAATGCAGCCCCAAGACTTTGAGCTGGTTTTAGCACGTCAGCAGCAACGTGATCGCTCCTCTCACAGCACAGGGTTACAGCCACCTCCGAGGGGCTCTTTCCCAAGGCAAAATCCCTGTGTCACGGCCCCCCCAGCCTGCCAATGAGAGCATCAATATTCATGTTGAAAAGCGTTTTCAGCATCAACAGTTTGCCCCAGTGCTGGGGTTTGCACTTGCTCCTCTGAGCGCTCCCTGGGTGGGTTCAGTTCGTTTTGGCAGAGCTAGGAATGCAGATGAAGCTCACATCGGTGATTTCCTTCTGCTGGGCTTTTCTTATTCCCTTTAGACACCCCCCTGCGGCCCAGGTTACTGGGGAGAGGTTCCTGCTGTGGAGTTTGCAACGTGCTGCACGAGCACAGGGACCTCTCACTGGAACTCAGCTTTCGCTGCTCTTTCAGGTCTTCAGTTCGGAGAAATTCATCGCTTACAGCTCAGATGAGCAGCTTGACTGAGAGCATGGAGAAGCAGTAATTCCCCAAGAGCCACGGCCATCGTATTGGGTTGGAAGGGAACCTAAAGCTCCTCCAGCTCCAACCCCTGCCACGGGCAGGGACCCCTTCCACTGGAGCAGCTTGCTCCAAGCCCCTGTGTCCAACCTGGCCTTGAGCAGCCACAGGTCCTCTGGGCACCCTGTGCCAGCACAAAAGGAAAACAGAAGTCCCTTTAGTGACAAGTAGAAAATAGAATGAGGACAATTATGCTGGGTTTTCCCTAATAGCCATTAATTTGATGACATAGCAAGCACCTCTATAATACATAGATATATGGAATACACGTAAGGTGATGTGATGTAATGTAATATAATATGATATGATATAAATATAATATAATCCTATTATGATATGATATGATGTAATGGCTTAAGCCCAGCCGGTAACTCAGAACCATGCAGCCTCAAGGGACCCAGGTCTTGGGGTCACCCCTGTGGTCCCTCACGGGGCACTGGCCCTGCTCTCCATCCACACAGGGAGGAGGGAGGTTGGCCAAGGCAATCAGACTTGGCGAGCCCAGCTCTGCTGTGCCAAGGAGGATTCGTCTCACCTCGTTGTAGAGGGAACTCCCCAGCCCAAGCCTGTTTGAAGGACGCCAGTGAATCACTGCAGTGAAAGCGTGCTTGGGGCTTGGCTGCGAGACCAGCCACAATGGCAACCACTGAGGAGAGCAAGAGGAGCTCCCACGCCTGCTGAGCCACCCGCAGGAAGAATGACTTCAATTACATCTCCCTTTTGGAACGGACACATTTGGTTCCGTGCATGGCAGCGATAGGGTGTTAACTCCCTGCATCCAACAGGCATGAAATTGAATCCTATCACACGTGGGGCGGGAGCAGAACGCTGCCTGGCCCTGCTTGTGCAGGCAGAGGGGAGGCTCCTCAATCCCTTCTTGGCTGCTGGAGCCACCAGCCTGTGGGAGCAGCCCCAGCTGCTCTGGCAGGTCCTATCCGTAGGAGGGATGCGGTGAGGATGTGCACCATTGTGTGTGTGTTGTCCCACTGAGCAGAGGAAGGAATCAAAGCAGAGCGTTCCCAAATGCAGGCACCGGGAAAACCAGCTTATTTGTTTGGAAAGAGGCTTATCTACCTGCTAATGAACTGGGCACTCTCAGTGCGATGATGAGCATCTTGCAAAGGAAGGAGCTCCTCGCAGAGATCATGTCTTTGACGAAGGCTCTCCGAAGGCTCATCCATGCTGTAATTATGATAGATACAAACTTGGCAGCCTCAGCTGCTTGGTGCTTCTCCCTCTGATGGGGAGGTATTCCCCTTCCCAGTGCCTGCCTTCCTTGGAGAGGAGGCAGCCGGGTGATGGGGCGTGATGGGTGATACCCTCACAGCACCAGACCCTGCGATGCACCCAGGTAAAGGATGCCGATGGGGGGGGGGGAGGCTCTGACCTGGCAGCACTCTCCTCTCTCTGCGGGTGACATGACATGCCCAAAGGGAAAAATCTCCCTCGCAGGACCCCAAACTGGGCTGGCACTGTTTGTATGTCAGCAGCTTGGCACAGGGCACAGCATCCTTCCTCCCTGTGGGCACCATCCCTCACAGGGGCACACAGCAAAGCTGTTGTGCTGAGGCAGGTAAATGCGGCTAAAACTCAGGGGCAAAGAGAACAACTGCTGTCCTCCCACCCCAGGCTATAAACTGCCACGGTCCTAAACTCAACTGACCTGGCCATCGGTTACTTGTCTCCAGTTCATTCAGAGTGGGCAGGGAACAGGCGTTTCCCACCCTGTGCCATATACCCACCGTATTTATTGCTGTCCAGAGGTGATGGATGGCTTGGTTTCACCACCCATCAGTGTTGCTCTCCTGCTGCTTCAAGGGCAAACAGTTCTCTGGACTCAGCCTGAAAAGCTCCAGCCCCAGCATCATTTTCCCCACGTTTGCTGTTAAAGGATGTGCAAAGCCATTCCTAGTGACAGAGCAATTTCCTTCGTGTCCTGCAAAGGAAAAGGCGAAAAGAATAGAAGTCAGTGTATTACCCACCAATCTGCATTCCTGCTGCAAGCCTAAATAGTAACAGCTTCATGTTAAGCAAACCCACCGCTGTAGTAATTCCACATCAAAGGCTCAGTGTCAAAGGAATCATTTTGCTACAGCCACCAAATAATGAGCAATTTATGTAGTGTTTTGAGACGAGATTAAAACCCAGCTGCAGAGCAACACCTCTGCCTGCCAGCGCCTGCAGGTCTGTCAGCCTTCGGGGGCAGGAGGTGGGGATGATGCTGAGCGGGGCTGGATGCTTGGCATGGGTACTGAGCGCCCTTCAGGGTGTCCCTCCCCACCACGCAACCAGCCGAGGGCCTCATTACCTGCAGATCCCCCCTGCCACGTCCCACAGGGATGGATTAGAGTGACAGAGCTGTGATGCTGTGTGCAGAAGTCATGCTGTGATGCTCCTCCTGGTCATCATCTGCCTTCACCCCCTGATCCCTGTCCCGCTTGGTATCTTACTGCCCTGTACCCACCTCTCCCACAGCACAGACCTGGTTGAGGTTGCACAGCACCTTTTTCCCAGCTGTTTCGTGCCTCTGGAGGCTCCAGGAGCATCACCCAACCGGTCCCAGCTTCATTTCGGAAGCACACGAGAGCTATACAAAGTGTTGCTTTGGGTTTCCAGAAATAGCAGAGAATGATCAGAATGGCCAATTTTAAACCAATTAGAGGTAATTTCTTCAGTTGCTGCCTTCTGGCATGAGTCACACGTGGCAAAAGGGAGACCAGGGCATGTCACCTTGTGTCTGCCCCGCTGTCTGCAGCACGGAGCCGCCGGGGATCCGAGAATTGCTGGGAATTGCTGACAGCCTCCCGGCACCCGAGCAAAGTGCTGATGTGAGCCGCAGCCGGGCTCTGGCGCTCGCCTGTGACGAGGGAAATGCTTCTCGCTGCGAGGCTTTGGTTTAAATTAGAAACGAATGGGACGGATCCCAGAGGCAAACTGAAATGCTGACAAGTGCCCAGTTTGCCTTCCTGAGCCCCGCTGCACTGTGGCTGCCCCGGAGGCTCCGGCGGGGATGTGGGACTGGTGCGTGCTTCCCACGTCAGCAAATTACTTACAGTCATAGAATTAGAGACTGCTTTGGGTTGGAAGGGGCCTTAAAGCTCACCCAGTTCCAAGCCCTGCCCTGGGTAGGGACACCTTCCACTAGAGCAGGTTTCCACTGATGGAAAGGAGAGATTTGCTCATGCCACAGACCTCTGATAACAGAGCACGTTTGGGCAGGAAGGGAAAAGAGCTTTTAGTGAGTGCAGGGAGATGGAGGTGGCAGGGGGAGCGCTTGGCTCCCTGCAGGGAGAGGAAGGACAAGAAGAGGCTTGTGTCAAAGAAGCAAGTATTTTATTGTGTAAAACCCAAGCAGACATCTGAAGGCAGGCTCCCATTCACCCCCCCGCAGCCCCTGCAGCCCAGTGGCAGGTGCCCAGACATCCCAACCAGCTGTGAAAGCACGCACGGACCTGCCTTCAGACATCTATGGAATTATTAAAGCTCCAGAGCGTAGGGGGTGTCACACCAAGACCCAAATGCATCCTTCTGCTGATTTCGGAGCAGTGCTACACGGGATGAGGCCTCCTGGGTTACAAAGGAGGGGGTTTGGTGTTCTTCCAGCTCTAGAGCAGGTTTATCCCATGTTATCAGGCACCTATGGCAGCCGCTGGGCTTCAATGACAGCACCAACTCCTGAGTCAAAGAACTGCAGGAGAACAAGAAAGTCCCTTGTCCCCTCGGCTGGCCCTGAGCAAAGCGGAGGTGATGGGGAAGGGGGAAGGAGCAGAAAGAAACCGTCTCTAAACCCCAAGAGTCTCAGTCTGTGAAAGCATCCCATGGTTTCCAGGGAGCCACCTTCAGTCTCTGTGTAAGTGACGAGTTTCCTAGCAGGGGCTCTTGCACAGGAGCAGGGAAGCAGTTTGCAGGGTCACAGCTCCTTGCTCAGTGCAGCTCCGAGGCCGTTGCTGCAGCGTCTTGAAACCGAGTCTGGAGCAATGGGGACGTTTCATTATGCAAATTGTGCTCCCTGGAAAGAAATGTTTCATTAACACGTGCGCCCGTCTTGTGTTGCCTTAGTCAATTTGGGCACAGCTTGACACCCAGCGAGTTAGGCTAAAGGCAATGGGTTTACAAAATGTTTCCCTAATCTATTTTAAACACTTAATTACACTTGTGGCGCATTCATTAGGGACTTCGCTTTCAAACCTGCATCGCAGTAATAAGCCCCAATTCTTGCAGTGTCAGTTGCAAATACAGGGGTTGGATCCAAGGCCTGGACAAGGCAGTTTCTAACTGGGGGAAGCCCTTCTGAACCATGGGGGTGACCTCCAGCACCCAGCCAAAGCCAATTTCACATTAACCAAACAAGCATGGGCATTGGGATGGGAGTCTGGGAGGACCTGTCTGCCTGCTGGCACGGTAGTACCCAGGGGGGACGCTATTTTTGGGGAGCCCAGTGGACTCGGACCCCGTGGTGTGACCAGCTCTGGGGTTACCTTAGTCTTTTCCCAGGTACTTCCTCATGATGCTGTTGACATCATCCTCCTTCCCTTCTGCCTCGGCCCGGCGGCTTGCCGCGCTGCTCTGGGTGCTGGCTTTGCTGCTGCATCCCTCTCCATCCCCTCTCTGCGGCTGCGGCCGGCGCTTGATGCTGTCGGCGCTCCGGGAGGATTGGTGGGAGCCAGAGGATGAGGAGGAGTCAGAGACGTTCCCAGGGTCCTCCTGCAGGGCCGGGCTGCGCTTGGTGGCTCCCTTCCCCTCGGAGGATGCTGAGGTGCCCGCTATGGCCTCATCCTCGAAGCGCACAGTGAGGGGCCGGTGTCCATCCCTTCTGTCCCTCCCGGGCTTGGCCAGGCTGCTGGTGGAGCGGGACTTGCGAATGGCAGGGAGGAAGTCGTCGAAGTCGACGTTGGTTCTGCGCTCGTAGTTGAGGGTGGGGATCCTCCAGGTGAAGGGGTCGCTCCCCTTCCCCTCGCCCAGCCTGTCACTGGAGGGAGAGCCCGTTCCCACCTCCACATCCTCCAGCGACGGCTCCAAGTAGCTCCTCCAGGAGCTCGGCCGCAGCGTTCCCAGCACCTCCATCCCCGCCGCCGGAGAGCCGGGCCGGCGGCCGGACCCATCCAGGCTCTGCAGGAGGGAGTCGTAGGAGCCGAACTTGGATGCTCTTTTCAGCCCCGGCGAGCGCGCCGGCTCCGAGGCCATGCTCCGCAGGCTGCAGGAGCGCACGAGGCCAGCGCCTGCTCCTTCGCCTTCTTCCCCCGGCTCGTTCCCATCCAGCTTCCCCATGGAACCATCCATTGCTGCAGGGAAAGCCCTGCAGCGCCGCAGGGCCACGGCACCCACGGTGCGGTAAATGGGCAGGGGAGAGGTGTCACCCAGCGCCGGCTGCCCCGGCTCCCGCTCCGCTCCCCGCTGCCGCCGCAGCTCCTCCACGTACTCGGAGAGGGCGGCCGAGGAGCTGGGCACCGGCGCTGCCCCTGGGGAGAGCCCCCCCTTCCTCCTCCTCCTCGGCACCATGGGAGACAGCGGGCTGAGGAACCTCCCGTCCGGGGCAGGGGACCCCCCCCGCCGCAGCACCGATGGGGACGTCTCTCCCATCCTGTCCCCAGGCTTCCTGAGGCTCCCCAGCTGCTCCTCATCCGCTGCAGGTTTTCCATATTCCCGTCTCCTCGCCCCGAGCAGGGGGCTCGCCACCCTCCCTGCATCCGCAGCATCCACCGGCATGGCAGAGCTCCGGGAAGAAGCCGGCCGGCTCGGTGCGGGTTCCTTGGTGTCTCTGCTCAGCCTAAACAAGAGATATTGGCATTAGTTTAAGCCATGGGATTTCCAATGTCATTCAGCAAGGACAGGGCTGCGCAGAGAAAAGCCGCTCCTGGCATGGCAGCCCCAGGATGAACTCCCACTGCTGCATCAAGCATTGGGCAATGCCCAAAGATTTTATCTTAAATAACTCCAGGTCAGCCAAGCTGGCGCGGTCGAGCTCAGCTCTGCCAAACGCATACCTCAAACGTCCTTTTTCCTTGACAGATTGCAGCAAGATGTGGGATTTATTTCAGTTCTGCCAAAGCCAAAGATTATTCACTAAAACTTCATGAAAGCAGTTCAAGGAGCACCCTCAATGCACCCCGATGGCACTGCAGGGCATCTTTCACCCAGGCTGCTGGCACTGTGGGGTGCAGGAGCCAGGTAACACCTGGGCAGGGGCTGCCCCTTGAACTGGGACTGATGGAAGTGAGGTATGGGGATGGGACCTCACCGGCAAACAAGGGCTAGTGCAGGAACCCTGTGAGCTCACCAAAGGCCACAGGGGTCACCATCACAGCAGGACACTGTCCCCAAAGCATGGGAAGGGGAAAGAGAAAGGGAAAAGGAAAAGGGGAAAAGGGAAAGGATAAAAAGATAAAAGGAAAGGGAAAGAATAAAGTGAAAAGGAAAGAGAAAGGGAAAGGAAAAGCGAAAGGGAATCCTCTTGCTGGCCCTGCAGGATTATCCCCACTCACTGATACCCTGGCATTGCTCAGCCCAGGGGGACTGGGAACCGGCTGCTGGGATATGAGTTTGCCTGAGAAAGCAGGGAGGAGGGAAAACGCAGAGTAAAGCATCAGGATCCAAATATAAACACATCTGTGAGAGGCCAGCAGGCTTCGAGGTGTGGGAGCAGTGGTCAAGTTCTACATCGCAGTAATGAAGCATCCTGCCCCGGGAATGCTGGCGTTGCCATGGGAACGGGGTGAGAGCGGATAATCCAGCCACTGCCGGACCTGCTCGGCCCAGCCTCTGCTGACCCGTGAAATAATTTACATGCCGAGATGGGCTGAGCACAGATCCCACGGCTGGGAGAAGGGAGTGAGTGCAGCAGGGATGGGGAATGGAGCAGCCTCAGCTCCCCGGCACCAGCTGGCACAGCCAGCACGGCGGTGCCCACCTTGCTCTGGTGCTCCTGTGCCCACAGCGCATAAAACCAGTCCAAAATCTGGGATTATTCACTGCAAAATGAATTAACCAGAGATTCCACCTCCCTGGAACCCAGCGAGCTCCAGGCCTACCCCGGGAAGCATCGCAGCTGATTAATAGTGGGAGACGTCTCGATAATGCTGGTTCTTAGGATCCTAAATCGCATCTTACCCAAATAGCTGGTGTAATCCTTCCTGGGCAATTTGCACAGCAATGGCTCTGAACACTCTCTGTGTTTACAAATAATACTGTGAGCTGCCTGCTGCACGGCCAGCTTTCATAAATTAAACAGCCAGCTCTCCTATTTGCCTTTGGTTGTTAGGACTGAGATAAAAGTGAGCTGGAGAGGTGAGAAACACTAATGGACTGTGAACGTGGAGCGCTCAGACGCTGCTATTTATTGTCCTGTTCAGCATGATGAACAGTTACTATTTTTATGAAAACCTTTAGAGCCTGAAATAGGAGAAAAGCTGCAAACATGGGATTGTTCCTACAGCTCCCATGGGTCTTATGCGTCTGACAATGCAGCCCCCAGGGTCCACACAGGGACCTCTTGGAGCATCTCCTGCCCGTGCTCTCCATGCCCTGGTGCTCAGCAGAAGAGCTGGAGCCCAAAACCACCCTTGTCTCTCCCCACAGTTCCTATTAGCTGCATTCATTAAGCAAAACCCGCTATGGAAAGGGCCAATTCCCCCCCAAGGAAGCCGCGTCTCTGCGATCACAGCTCATCGGTCCATGGTTGGTGCATGTGGTGCCGGCACTGGTGGGTCGGTGCCAAGGTCATGGTGTGTTAGCTCGGAGCAGCATCAGCTGCCTGGTGAGAGCATGCAGCTCTGATTGGATTTTAAATGAAAATGCAAATCCTCCCTGGGGTTTAGATGAGCAGCAAAAGGCACCGTGTGATGGGGAAACGCTGCAGGGATTTCACTGCTTTTGATGCTTCTCCTCTTGCCTTCCAGCATCTAAAGAGCTCGGGTCCTTCCAGCAAAACCTGTTGTTACTTCTCCTTCTAGGAAGCCAAAACCTGCTTCTATAGACCCTCCAATGGTGGCTCCAAGCTGCAGCCCACCCCGGCGTCAGCCCTGCCACAGGCACACCGAAATCACACCTTCATTTCTGTATAAGGAGCCTGAGGACCACAAAGTAGTTTCTCCCATCAACAGGTTTCTGATGGAACAAGCCCAGAGGATGGAACTGGTGCTGCCGCATCCCAACAGGCTGCTGTCCCCTATCACCAGTCAAGCTGTGACACTGGGACTGCACCCTACACCACTGTACCAGTACCTTGTCCAAAGAAAACCCACCCCAAAACCATGGCTGATCTTCTCTTGGCCATCCTCCAGCCTATTCACAAGGCAGGGCACAACGTGAGATGGTCCCATCCCATCCCACAGCATCCGAGCTGACTCGGAAGGCATCTGTAAGCCAAACGGAGTTCCGCAATATGCCATTCACACCAAAGCAAATGACATACAACAATAATTAGTGCAGATTACATAGCAATTAACATGATTACAATTATGCTAGTTGAAATAATTTATACAATAAAATCCACACATGCGATGCAACACATGACCAGGGATGGAAGTCTGGCTCGGATGCTTTTCCTGGGAGCTCATAAATAAAGCTGAGACAACTCCATTTCAGGGAGAGAGACTGGCCTCATTTCTGTCAGAGGAGGATTCTCTTGTCACGCTGTCATCTACACAAGTACTCCCAGTTTCCCTGTATCAGAACCTGCCTTTGACACCATCCTGTTCAAAAATAGATGTGTTGGATCCCCACCAACCTTGGGCCCTGGGGTCCTCAGTTTGTGAGCTCAAGAAGGGGAAGGATGCTGGGATGATGCTGCGGGATGCAGGAGCCGAGAGGCAGGGCCCTGTGCTGCAGGTCCGCTCCCTGCCTGCGCCTCAAGGTCAGCCCCTCTGTTGCAGTGCAACCTCAGCCTGCCTGGTGAGAGGCAGAGAAAATGCATGAAGTTTTGCATTGGCTTCCTAATAAATAATAAAAGAGAGAGTTTGTTCCAGCTCTGCAATGTGTTGTATTTTGGAGGCTTAGCCCTGCTGGCCAGCGCCTTGTACACACATTTAAATAGCAGAGAGTCAAAGGAAACATTAATCAAATCTCTCATTCCTGTAAGTCACACTGATGATAACAGCCTGCTATGCTTTCCTCTAGCTCCTGGCAGCTGTTTGTTCAGCAAATACCCCATATGTAGTGCTGGGAAGATTCATTTTTCATTTCTGGGTGCTTGTGTAAGACAAAGGAATCTTAATAAGGAAGAGCTTGTTTCCCTGGTCTCATTTTTATTACTTTACCCGTCTCCCTGTCTGTTTGTTTGCATTTCATGCAGCCTCCTCTCCAATATTTCCATCTTAGATTAGCTGAAGCCAAACACAGCCACCACACCAGCATCTGCAAGTCGCCTCTTCATCACCCCCAGGACAGAGACAGATTGCCACCAGGCTTCCAGGTCTAGGTACACATTACCTCTCACAGTGGCCATGGCCAGCCCAGCCTATATAGAATCACAGAATCCCAGCCTGGTCTGGATTGGAAGGGATCTTAAAGCTCATCGAGTTCCAACCTCTGCCATGGGCTGGGACACCTTCCACTAGAGCACAGGGACCTCACAGCCCACCCCGGAACCCATCAGTAGAGCAATTCCTAAGTACTGCCTGGGAGTCTTTGGTCCAGCTGCGCAGCCCCATCCCTGGCAGTGTTCAAGGCCAGGTCAGACAGGGCTTGAAGCAGCCTGGTAGTACTTAGGGATTGCTTTACTGATGGGTGCTGGGGTGGGCTGTGAGGTCCCAGAGAGCTCTCAGGGCTCCCACCCATCACTTCCCAGCAGGTCCCTGCCTGTCTGCTCTTAATCTCTGCTCTGTATCTGCAATGGACACTGACAATTCCAGCTCCTCCAGCACAGCCCAGGTGTCTGCTCCCAGGGGAATTGCTCCTCAGTCAGTTCTGGCACCAGCTATTTAACTGTCCAAATGGTGGATGTGGTGGGGACAGTTCACACCAGCACCAGAGCAGGGAGCTTGATACCAGTGTCTGCAGTGCAATGGCAATCTGCAGCCCCCCAGACTATCAGCTTGGAGCATCTATCTACAGACCTGCACGTGAGCAGGACGCTAGTGAGCTGTGCCAAGCGTCAGTTCAGCCCCTGCCCTGGTGCTGGAGGAATGGGGGAAAAGATGGGAAAATAGTAACCTATGTCCCAATACACCATCCCTGTGCATCACGGGACAAACACAACGAACCAGCTTCCCTGTGCCCCTGCAGTGCTGGGGATGGCTGTAAAACCAGGGTTTGTCTGCAGGCTGGAGGGTGCCTGGAGCTCCACCGGGGCCGAGCTGAGGCAGTTTGGCCATAGGAGTGCCTGGGCCACTCTCCAGCTCCCTCGCAGCCCATTAGCATTACAGTCAGAAATTAACATATTTTATATTAGAACTGTATAAATGCAGCCTGTTTCCTCAGCAGCGAAAGGCAAGCATATGGCACACACACCCTCAAATAGGCTGCCTCGCCTCTTTAAGTTATCCCTAGGGAATACATCAAGGGATATTATACTGCTCGAAGCCTGGTTTTGATGTAGCGACTTTCATCTGGTGTTTCACTGATCCTGGCGTGGCAGCGACTACCTTCCTTGATTTGGGGTTTTGACCTTAAATACCACAGGACCCTCCCTTCTGCGCATCCCAAAAGGAGAAGAGGTGAAGCACCCGCATCCTTGAGCCAGTCTGCAGCATCCCCTCATGAACCACAGGCATGGCAGTGGTTGTGGCGGGTGCCCTGTGCGGTGCAGCCCAGTGCGGGCTTTGGGTCCCTTACCTGGGGCTCTGGGTGCTGCGGCTGCCGATGGACTGTGCCGAAATGCTCCCGGCCACGCTGCCACCCGCAGGGGAGGACCAGCCCGTGGATGAACCCGGCCAGGACTTGATGCTCTCTGCGGGCTCCAGGCCAAGTGTGGACCCAATGCTGGAGCAGGCGTCCCTGTGGGGAGAGGAGGGGCCCCATGAGCTCTGCAAGTGCAGGCAGGAAGCACCAGGAAGGGTCCTGCAGCATGTGAGAAGAGCACAGAGTGGGAACTCCTTCACGGCTGCAGCAATGGCAGCTGCAGCTGCTGGGCTCTACCCTGTGGCACCGGCACAGATGGGGTAAACCGAACGTTTCCAGCTAACCTGGCCCTTGTGGCTGCCACTGATGTTTCCTCCGTGCTTTTATAAGCACCCTGCCTGTAGACTGTAGGCAGGAAAACCCCACTGCTGCCTGCAGTGCCTGGGACCGGAGCAGCAGTGACAGAGCCAGTGAGACCCTGGGAACCCCATTGTGCCCTATGCACTCCTGGGCTCCCCTGCCCACCCACCCGGAGCCCCCAGACCAGCTGCAGTGGGTGAAATCCATTAAGATCTCAGTTTTCCTTCAAAGCCATAAATCAGCCCCATAGTCCCCCAAGTGCAGACTGGAGCAGTGAGAGCATCCCGTTGGTTTATCAGAGCTCAAAGGGAAAGTGAGGGTGTTGATGGGCACTGGGACATGAAACAAGCACATCCAGAACCCCATCCAGCCCTGCCCTCAGCTTGGGGCCCACAACCCAGCACACAACCAGGCACAGGCTCCTGCCCTTCACTCACGTCTCTCTTCTGGAGCAAAGGGACTCCTGCGTTGTCTGCACACTGCAAGGGACAAGAGCAGAGTCAGCTCCAGCACTCACAGGGCCTCCCCAGAGCCACTGAGCCTGATGAGATGGAAACCTCCCCAGCCTAACAATGCCAGCGCTCGAGAGCAGGGTTTTGCCTGCGCCAGCAACGCTGCATGGCTGAAGACCTCCCCCTGCTCCCCACACTGCAGGCTGCAAAGGGCCCCCCGTGCATGCACCCCCGCACAGCAATCACTGCTGCGGCAGTGTCTGCACTCAGAACACCTCTGGGATGCCCGGCTGGAGGAGGGCAGGCAGCAAAACCCCGGGGGTCCCTGCAGGCAGCCCCTCAACCCCCCTGTTAGCAAGCTGGCTGGGCTGGAAATCACTTCCTTTGATGGAGGGTGAATCCCTGAGCTCGTGGTTCCTCTCTCACCCCGCCCTGGCTTAAGGAGCGCATAAAGAATCCCTGCTCAAGTGATGAGCACATCTCTGCTATCTTTCTAAAATACATTTATTTGTTTTGTATCTCTGTGTCTATTTCCCTTTAGCAATGAGGCAGAGGGGAAACTGAGAGGTGTGGAAATAATACCTGGAAGAATGGCTGGAATTCCCCCCTCCTCTTTTTTTCCTAGTAAAATCCTCTACCCATTCTGTGCTGCTTCACCAGCTCCTCCAGCCCCCAGCTCCTGCAGCTGATCAAAGTGCAAGATCATCAATAAACCCAGCACTGGGGATGTGCTGATGCACAGCAGCATGCTGTGTGAGCGACTGGAGCCTGCTCTGCAAATGGGGGTACTCCCACTCCTTCCGCTGACTTTAAGCTGGGCCAGGCAGCATGTTTTTAAGGGTGATGCTTTTTCATGAAACCTTCCATTAACACCAAGTTCCTTGCTCATAAACACATGCTGCTGCAGCACAAACACGCGAGGATGCAGCTACAGCCGCCCCAGCATCGCCTCTGCGTGGTGCAGCATCCTTCTGCAGCACAGCACACCCGAGCCTGCCCCACAGCCCCCCACAGCTCCCTGTGCTCCTCTCCTCACCTCTCAGCATCGCTGTCGTCGCTGGACCGCCGCTCCTCCAGGGCCGCCTGCAGATGTGCGATGCGGCGGATGGCAGTGCCCAGGTCAGCCTGCAGGGCCTGCCGCACCGCTGCCAGCTCCGCCAGCTGCTGCTCCTGCATGGGTGGCACCATGTTAGTGCTGGTACCCTGATACAGCACCATGGCACTGCTGGTACCCTGATACAGCACCATGGTACCGCTGGTACCTTGATACAGCACCATGGTACCGCTGGTACCCTGATACAGCACCATGGCACCGCTGGTACCCTGATACAGCACCATGGCACCGCTGGTACCCTGATACAGCACCATGGCACTGCTGGTACCCTGATACAACACCACGTTAGTGCTGGTACCCTGATACAGCACCATGTTAGTGCTGGTACCCTGATACAGCACCACGGTACTGCTGGTACCTGATACAGCACCACAGCACTGCTGGTACCCTGATACAGCACCATGTTAGTGCTGGTACCTTGATACAGCACCACGGCACTGCTGGTACCCTGATACAGCACCACGGCACTGCTGGTACCCTGGTACAGCACCACGGCACTGCTGGTACCCTGGTACAGCACCACGGCACTGCTGGTACCCTGATACAACACCATGTTAGTGCTGGTACGCTGATACAGCACCATGTTAGCGCTGGTACCTTGATACAGCACCATGGCACTGCTGGTACCTGACACAGCACCATGGTACTGCTGGTACCCTGATACAGCACCATGGCACTGCTGGTACCTGACACAGCACCATGGTACTGCTGGTACCCTGATACAGCACCATGTTAGTGCTGGTACCCTGATACAGCACCATGGCACTGCTGGTACCCGACACAGCACCATGGTACTGCTGGTACCCTGATACAGCACCATGGCACTGCTGGTACCCTGATACAGCACCATGGCACTGCTGATACCCTGATACAGCACCACGGTACTGCTGGTACCCTGATACAGCACCACAGTACTGCTGGTACCTGACACAGCACCCCAAATCCTGGAGCAGGCCAGTGAGGGGTCTGTGAAAGCTCTCCCTGCACTAGGGCTCCCTGTGCCCTGCCAGGGCTTCCAACCTGCCCCTGCACCCTGCTGTGCCTGCAGCAGCTTGTAAATGCACACTGCTTTCACAAGAGGAGCAACCAAAGCTGAACCCTTCCATGATCAAGCAACACCCCACACAATGGGGAAAGGCTCAGGGACGAGCCAAAAGCCACAGGCAGAGGGCAAGAACACGAGGAGCCATCAGCAATTACTGAGGAAACTGAACTGAACGCCGGGGAGGGGAGGGTGACCTCGGCTTCAGGCGCACGGCTGCACCAGGGCATCCGGGATGTACAAACAGCCTTCCCAGAGATAATTAGCAGTGATGCCTTCCTGAGGCAGGCAGAGCAGTGAAGGGGAAGCAAATACATGGCTCAGGCAACAAAGAGCATAAAACCTGGGTGAGTAATGAAATCATCTTTGAAGAGAGCAACAGGATTGAGCTGGCTTCGGCTCCACATCAGTTCCTGCAGCTGGGGATGCCCAGTGCTGCGGTGGTGAGTGGATAGGGACTGAGCACAGCATCACATCCATGGAGCGACATGGGTAAATTAAACTTTAACACTAATGCACTAAATAAGTAACTAGCTCTGGTATTAAACATTAACCCGCTGTGTGAGAGCACCACATCCCTGCCAGGTATGGAGCAAGCACAGACCGCAGGGATGCTCCCAAGCCCTTCAGGGCTGCTCCCCGCTCACACATCTCACATTCCTGCTTGGAAACAAAGCCCTTTCCAGAAACACCAGAGCTGCTAAGAAAAACCAGAGACTCCATTCATAATTTAAACTACAAGGAGAAAGAGCTGAACAAACAGCACAACCCACACAGCCCATGGAGCCAGCATCGCTCGCGGCACACCGGGAATGCTGACCCGGCACTGCCAGCTCCTTTCTCGGTGCCGTTTCCAGAGCATCACACGGCACAGGGAGACGGGGCTGCACATTCACCGTGATTGGAGCTGCCAGCTGTAAAATTGCCATCTCGGCGGTGACAAGGTGAGAGATGATTTGCAGTGCAGGCTGTGACAGGCCGTGGCGCCGGGGCCGGCAGCCTGTCAGGGTAAATAATGGGAGCCCTGGAATCAGCAGGCACACGGGCCCGTGGGGAGGAGCATTCCAGTTCATGGAAACACGCAAAGGAACAGCCCGCTTTGGGCTGTGCAGCATCAGCTGGGTCTGCAAACACACTGGTACTGGTAAAAACCAGAACACTGTCAAAAGCCATTGGAAACTCCCAGCCCTTTGCTTCCCTCCTGGCTTGGGCAAATGCAGGGGGTGGAAAGGACCTGCTTCATCATGGAAACTGCTCCAAGGCACGTGGAGATGCTCCCCACACTGGGTCTGACCCTGCAAACAGGCTTGGGAGGAGGGACACGGTGAAAGGGTGAAGAGAGGCGAAGAGAGCCCCGAGCTCCGGTTGGTTTTGTGTCTGTATAATGCAGGACCAGGCAGTAAACCAGCCACCAGGTACAGAGCTCAACCCTTCAAACAGGCTGATAAGAGCCTCTACTGAACCCGTTCCTCAGCTCCAGGACACTGCGCAAATTAAGTGTAGTTCAGTGGCTGCATTTAATTCCTTTCTTCCCTTCTGCTGTCATTAACCTGGCAGTGAGTGATGGGGAGGACACAGCAGTGTGCTGCCCTCCTGCACCCTGACCCTGCTTCCCCTGGATACAGCTGGAAGAGCAGCAAACAGCACGTCCAGAGCCTGGGGGGGAGTCCCCCCCCCAGCCCTGCTGCATCACAGCCATGGGCACAGCAAAAGAAGCAGGACCACCGAGGGGATGATGCTGCTGAGCCAGGGCTCCAGCTCAGCTCCCCGCCATGGTCCATGGCACCCACACTGCATGGCAGGGGCTGCCCAGGGCACCAGGGCAGTTTGGAGGCTGCACGGCACTGCAGGTAACCTTGGTGTCCCCTGCCCACAAGCCACCCAAGCGACGATATCAATGGAAGCCTGGAAATGCCAGTTTCTTAATGGGAGTTGATACAGCTCAAGCACAGCGATGCCACCAAACCAGACTCCTTCTAGCAGAGGTACATCATCCCATGTACCCGGGCCGGCTGGATACAGAGGGAGGCACCAGCCTCCTTCAGAGGCTGACCCGGGATCGGTCCCTGCCAGACTTGCATGAGCCTGCTCAGAAAGGGAATTTCAGCTCTTGGGGCACTGCTGTAAAGTGAACTCTGGTGATACAAATCTGCAGCAAGAAGATGGGGGAAAGAGAAGTGATACTGCTCGATTTCTGTGCCCTGCCTTTCAGTATGGGCTCCAGAGGATGCTGCAGCCAGAGAGGAAGAGGAGAAGGAGGAGGAGGGCAGAGCCAGAGCTTGGCCAGAGGCAGAGCAAGGGGAAATGCTCTGAGTAAATGTGCTGCTCAGCATTTTGGGCTCAAATCAGTGCAAAAGAGAAAGGCTCGTGTGTACGGAGCCACAGAGCAGCCACGTCCATCATGCTGTGCTCATGGTGGCAGTGCTGTGGTGGGGAGCAGGCTGCAAACCCCACATCCCTCCTGTCTCAATGCTCCATCCCAGCTCTCGTGCACAGATACTTTATGTTTGACTCTGCACCATACAATTGTCTAAAGGAAGACAATAATTATGTCAATGTAATTACATCTCAAATGCAAAAAAAAACCAACCCTATCTTTATAATACAAACTGACAAGAATTGTTGCAGCATCAGGCACTGTTATCCCAGGAGCTACCAGACATCTTTGACACCCGTTTCAATCTAAATGTAAATGCCAGAAGCATTTCCCTGTTAATACAGTAACTGGTCTGAGCATGTGCATCCTCACTCAGGATGAACTGCCCAGCATGGCTGGCTTTTTGTTTCCTCTGAGCAGAAAAGGGAGGGGGAAAGGGGGCAGGGACACCTTCTCAACCCTCTTTGTCTCAAGAGCTTCTTTTTCAACTGATTTTGCCTCAGGAACCTACGAAAATCAGTTAAAAAGCGCTGAAGCAAAGCAGCAGTGAGACAACCTGGGGGGCTGTGAAGGATGCCAGGGCAGGCACCGCAGAGCAGCCGCCTTTTATTGCTGTTTGCAGCTCCGCTGTCACAACACAACCCCAACAGCTCCCCTCCACCTCGAGTGAAGTGGGATCTAATTAGTCCCGCTTGGATTGCGCCTCTTGGAGTCACTGCAGTGCACCTGCACCCTTCATCAATCGTCATTACGTTTAATTAAGCAATTAACTGCCGGCTTCTCGGGAAGTTTGACGTGACAAAATCCAGGCGCTGAGGCGGGGCGAGCGGCAGAGCCGGTAACGGGTGCGGGCAGCCAAAGTGCTCATGGTCCCCTAAAGACCCCAGTGCTGTAGTGGCAAAGGGATCACACCCCGGGAATCACGCCCTGCCCCACTGGCAATTAGCACGTCTGCGGCTCCCCCATCACCTCCGAGGACCGGCTCCTTTGATGCTCGTCGTCGTTCCGCTTTGTCAAAGCCATTAGATCGTAAAGAGCAGCCCAGGAAGAGCCGGGAGGGGGCGGCTGGGCCGAGGGATGCGGAGACATCAGAGGGCTCGGCTGGGAGCCTGCTGGGAGCTGCGGGTTTGCCCGGCTGGGAGCGCGGCATTCCCGGCGGGAGGCACAAACAGCTCCCGCTTCGCTTCTCAAGTTCATTGAAAGCGCCGGAAAAGCCTTTAAAGCTTGTAAATGAAAACCAAAATGAGATGAGAGCGCTGAGGCTGTGATGTGCTGCAGCACGCTGGGTGCGAGGCGGTAACGGGGCTGCTCTACAAAGGGGGTTTGCCAGCATAAAAACCAGGGAAAAAAAAGGGTTATTTACACTGTGGTTCCCACCTTCGCGAGGAAAACCAAAAGTGTGGAAAAAAACTTCACACCTGCACTTGAGTTTGCGGTGAAAAAAAGTTAATTATTGCACTGATGAACCTCCCAGCTTCCGTAAAGAAAGAGGGGTTTAGCACAGTGCCCACCAAGCCCCTGTGGTGCACAGCGGGGCCCCGGGGGGGTGCAGGGTGGCTGGAGGGGATGCAATGAGTCTGACCCCCTCTCCAGCATGAGACTGAAACTGGGACTTCATCCCAGCAGGATCAGCCCCTGCTTTTCCATGGGCATCCCAACACAAGGTGGGAAGCACCCGACTCTCCAGGGCAGGAGGGACCCCGGGGCTCCTGCTGCTGCTGAGCTCCATCCCACAGCTCCCAGCCCAACACCAGGCAGCCGCTTGATTCCTCCCATGAAACCCGAGCTCTTCAGGCAGTTCAGCCATGAGCAGCGCAGCTGCAGGTCCCCTCTTACAGAAACATGAGCTTCTTTGAAGCTTTTTGGTTATTTCTTGGCACCTGCTGGAAGAATTAGTGTCTAAAATGTGGAATGCGTCCATCCTGGCTTGTTAGCAGCTCACATCTCCCCGCTCTGCTGCAGCAAACCCACGGGTAAGGAGAAGGATGCTCTGCCAGAAGCTCTGCAGAAACAGCCCTGTAAAGGCAAGGTCGAGGACAGGGTCCTCATGGCATTCCTGTTCCTGTCCAGGGTTTTTAGTGGTGGCTCTGGACACCAGAAGGAGCTGAGCTGAGGCATCTTGCAAACAGCCTTGCTCCCCTGGTGCTCATGATGGACCATCTACCCCTCTCCAGCATCACAGAATGGTTTGGGTTGAAGGGACCTTAAAGCTCATCCAGTTCCAGCCCCTGCCACGGGCAGGGACACCTTTCACTAGAGCAGCTTGCTCCAAGCCCCATCCAACCTGGCTCCTGAGCATCCAATCATCTCCTGAGCACCGACACCAGGAGCCATGCTCAGCACCCAGCACCATCCTGTCCTCAAACAGCCTCAAGAGGGAATTCCCAGCCAGTGGCTGGTCCCAGCTCATCACCCTCCACACCCCTGCCCCATGCCTGCTCCCAGCCCCTGCTCCATCCTTCCCTGCGCTGCAGTGGGCAGCTTCACCAGGAGATGCTTCTATCAGCACAGGCACAAGCTGATGCACATTCACAGAGAGCAGAGACCGGGGCTTGCTTTGAGGCTGCCCAGGACTGACTCCAACTTGGAAATCCATCTCCTGCTTCTGGCTGTGACTCAGCCTCTGCCCAGGCGCCTGGGTCTGGCCTGGCAGGCTCTGGGTGTCAGCACAGCAGCAGGGGACCGAGGAGCTGCTATTGCAGGCTGGGATCCAGAGCTTACTGGAAGAGCAGCTACAGCTCCACAGAGGAAACCCAGGACATGCAACCAGAGCAAAGACAGAGACAGGCAGGGCCAAGCCCTACCCTCGCCGATAGGAAACTTTCCTCCCTTGCTGCGATGGCACCGGGCTTGCAAAGTGCTCAAAACCCATGCTCACAAAAGTCATAAAGCAGAGCAGAGCCGAGCCATGTGCCTGGCCCTGCCTCATGCTGGATCTCCCTGCTGCCTGCGAATGGCAGGAGGCTGCTGCCCCGCTGCCCAAAGCTGGGTTGAAATGAGGGAGGGATGAAGACAGCTGCCCTGAGCCTGGCTGAAGGTGCAGGGATGGTGGGGCTGGGCTGTGCAGTGCCACCAGCACTGATGAACACGAGCAGTGGGAACACAACACCTCATACACAGCACCAGCTCCTGGGAACCCAGGGAACGCGACGGCATTTCCAACCCAATCTGTACAATGACTTTGTCCCTCCAATGCCTCTCTTAAAGCCTGACAGTGAGTGACAGCTCCACAATGTCATCGCTGTGTATTTAAATGAATTAAAAACCCTGTTAGGTGCAGACCATGACTTAAGTAATGTTAAGTGAATAATTCATGCAGAATTTATAATGGATGGGGGATTTGTCAGGAGCAGAGATGGAAGTGGCTTTCTATTAACTATTGATGTTCTCTGCCAGCCTCTCGACAAGCCGGGCTGGGCTCTGCCATCACAGCTCTCCCAAGATGTTTTATTTAAGCACTGTTAAGAGCACACACAGTCTGTGGAATTGCTGTGCTCCTGGGAATGCTGAGGCACCCCTGGCTCCCGTGGTGGGCTCATGGAGCATCCACCACAAACAGCCATGGGGATAAACCTGGGGTGTGATGGGTCTGGCTCCCTCTTCCTGCAGCAGATCCCAGATAACCCCAAATGTCTGGGTGTCTGGATAAGCCCAGACCCCTCTGTGTTTGCTTATGAGTTTGTCTGTTTATGAGGGTTTTGTGTCTTATTCCAGGGAGGTGCCTCTAAAATCCCTTTCAGGCTTCTTTGCAAACATCATTTGTGAGAACAGAAGCGTGTGAAGGAGACCCGTGTCTTGCTCCACCCGCCATTCACATCCCCACAGGAAGCATTCCAAAAGCTTCTAAAAATACCTGCACAAACACAAAAATGCAGTTGAAAGAAGCCACCCGTATCCTAACAAACAGCGCATCCGTGTTCCAAAACATCCCATTCCAACAAAGCTGCAATAAGCACACACTTATCACAGCAGCTGAAGCTGTGTGCGGTGGTACCCACAGGGAGAGCAGCAGGATGCAGCCCCGGGGTGGGATGCTGCGGCCCTGCATCGGCACATCTCCTGGCTCTGCAGAGCATCAATGCCTGCACGGCTCCCACCCAGCGAGGAGCTTTGTCTCGTGCCCAGGAGGGTGACCGGCAGCCGGAGCTGCATGTGAGCACTTGAGGATTCAGGCTGGCAGAGCGAGGACAAAGCCTGTTCGTGGCACAGCACGCGGGGGATGTGGAATCGTTCACACTAAAGCACCATTCCCGTCAGAAAGGCCGGCGGCATCGGGTGAAATAAATGCTGAAATCTCCTTGATTGTTAAATTAAAGATTATTGATAAAATAACTGCTTCTAATGTGGCTCTGCTGCCAGCAGAAATGCAATGTCTTTCAATTACTGCTTGGAAGCACGGCTCCCCTTTTGTTTACTGGGAACAACCAACAGGAAAAGAGATGCTGGCAAAGGACTGCAAAATGAAGGTGAATCTATTTCTGCTGTACTCCAGATCCAGTTGGGGCTTTGTGTGTGCAGAGCAGGTTCGCTGCCTGTTGGCACCCTCAGATGAACCACTGTGCCCCCAGGGGTTGCTTGGCAAAGCCAGGAGCACCGCAAGGAGCCTGGAACACCATGAGGAGCCCAACAGATGCACTGTACGACAGGCTTGGGCACACTGGGGGCTGGCAGGAGGGCATTTCCCCCATGCCAGGGAACTTGCAGCACCACTGCCGTAGTGCCCAACATAAGGAAAAGCAGCACAGGGAGGTGCAGGAATGACCTGAGCAACTCCTCAGCATTTCTTGGAGCAGAGCAACCAAAGAAATCTCCTTCCTGGACCAACACACAGAGCAGAGGGACTGCGGCCGCTGCCAGCCCAGCCATAGAGAGGTGAATCAGGGAGTCACAGATTGGTTTGTGTTGGAAGGGACCTTAAAGCTCCTCCAGCCCCAGCCGCTGCCACGGGCAGGGACCCCTTCCACTGGAGCAGCTTGCTCCAAGCCCCTGTGTCCAACCTGGCCTTGAGCACTGCCAGGGATGGGGCAGCCACAGCTTCTCTGGGCACCCTGTGCCAGCGCCTCAGCACCCTCACAGGGAAGAGCTTCTGCCTCAGAGCTCATCTCAGTCTCCCCTGGGGCAGGTTCAAGCTGCTGGCACCGCAGCACTCCCTTACCAGCTCCACGCGCCGGCGGCTGGACTCCAGCTCCCTCTGCACCAGCTCGTCCATGTCAGCCTTCATCTCCTCCATCCTCCTCTGGTAGTACCTGGTGTTCTCCTTCTCCCGTGCCTCTGACTCCGCCGCCTTCTCCAGCTCCTCACCCATCTTTATGATGCTGTCTCGCAAGCGCAGCACCAGCACCTGGGGAGAAGAGTGTGAAGTGAAGCCGGGGAGGTGGAGGTGAGGAGTTAGCAAGCGATGGTGCAGACCCCAGTGACCCCGGGGTGCCTGCAGATGTGCTGATCCATGGGGGCAGTGAGGTATTGAAACTGAGCCTGACATCCTGTCACCTGGACGGCACCAGAGCCTGTTGGAGGGGTGCTGTGATGGTCGTGCTGAGCAGTCAGCCCCATGCTCCATACCCAGAGGCAGGGACTGTCTATTCTTCCGGGTGCTTATAGCCCTGGTCCCACTGTTGGCTTTCAGTAGATGCCACAGTGAAGCATGTAGATAATGGCAGGGGCAGGAGCTCTATGGGCTGTCCAAAAGCACAGCAGAGCTGGCCAAAGACCCAACCTCTCCCTCCCTAAGTGCCTTTTCCCAAAGGCGAGGTGGCAGCACCCCCGCCCCGGAGCTCCGCATCCCCTCCGGCAGCAGTGAGGAGGTGGTACCTCGAAGCGCTTCATCTGCACGGCCTGGAAGTCCAGCTGGCTCTCCAGGTCCCGGATCCGGGCTTCCTGCCGGCTGACGATGGAGCGCTCGGCCGGGCACTGCTCCATGCGCGCTGCTCTCGCCTGCGCTGCCTGCAGCTAGGGGCAGGGGCAGCATCAGCACCTCCTGCCCTGACCCGCTCCCTCCCCACATCCCCACCCGTCCCTCGCATCCACGCCGGGGTCCTCATGGCCCCTGAGCTGACTGATGGGCATTGTGAAAAGCATCGCCTTGGGCTTCCTGAAGGATTCCTCCTGCTGGTACCTACAGTAAAGGCAGGACGGGAACGTGTGGTTTTGAGTGAAGAGTGTGCTGGTGCTGGCCACACAGCACGTGTCTGGGGCTCTTTTGATTTCCTCTTCTCACAAACTCTTTGAGAACAGGAGGCTTAATACTGTGCAATTTACTCCTATGAGGAAATCTGCCTGGGCCAAGCTGTTCCTTCAGAGCTTACACTGAGCTCTCCAAAGCAAACTGCCCCTTAGCGATGCTGCTAAAAACTTGGTTCAGATTCTGTATTTGACCTAAACCTACAGGGATTTGTTCTCTTTTATCTGGCCTATCTCTAAAGCACCACCCGCTCTGCGGCAGAGGGAGTGAGTCCTGCTCGATGCTGGGCGGCTTAACCCGCTCCAGCAAAGAACTGAAGTTAATGGGATTATTCATGTTTAAAATGGAATCCACTCCGGGAGGGTCGGTGCAGCCACCAGCACCCATCCCGGGGTCAGCCCCATCCCGGAGTCCGCCCCATCCCATGGGACCAGCAGCTCGGGAAGGGAAGGGAAGGGGGAGAAGCCTTGCCAGGAAAAGCTTTCTCCAGCCCCAGGCCATTGCTGGCAGAGCCCTGCAGTGGCTCTGGCCCCGTCCTGCCCGTGGGCCACGCTGTTCTCAAGGGCACTCACAGCACGGCAGGAAGAGAAGAACCTGACTCTATTAGAACCATAGAATCACGCTTGGTTTGGGTTGGAAGAGGTCTTAAAGCTCCTCCAGCTCCAACCCCTGCCCCGGGCAGGGACCCCTTCCCCTGGAGCAGCTTGCTCCAAGCCCCTGTGTCCAACCTGGCCTTGAGCACTGCCAGGGATGGGGCAGCCACAGCTTCTCTGGGCACCCTGTGCCAGTGCCTCAGCACCCTCACAGGGAAGAGCTTCTGCCTCAGAGCTCATCTCAGTCTCCCCTCTGGCAGGTTAAAGCCATTCCCCTTGTGGCTTTGTACCCCTGGGTAGAGACTTGGTCTGATGTCAGACAAGAGCACAGCATCTGCGCTGGGCACAGGCACCAGAGGACACCGGGTGGCTCTCGCTCCTCAGCTCTGGGTGTTACAGAGGAGGCTTTACCTTCTCCTGAAGGCTCTGCTTTTCCTTCTTCACATCCTCCACCTGCGTCTGCAGCTCCCGGATCTGAACAATATCTGCTGCCGACTGCGGGAGGAGGAAGCGCAGCAGTGGGTCAGAGGTGGGGGTTTGGAGCACAGGACCCACAGCACAGGGAGCTCGGGGCTGAAGGCTGGCTCCTGCCTGCACCTCCTACCACCCAAAGAGCCCCTCCTGCACTGGGCTGGAGGAGCTTCACTGTCCTGACTCAGTGCAGCTTCCCCGTGTTGGACAGATGGGGACAGAAATCACATTGTCCAGGTCATTTCTGTCCTCAGGGTCCTTTCAGGTGCAGGCTCCTGGCTCTGTACAATTCACTGACTGTGAATTGTCGGCCTCACCATCCTCCCCCTGCTCCTCTGGGAGCCTTGGGGTCCCTCAGGGTACAATCCTTTGGGAGAGCCTGCCTTAGCCGGGATATTGCCCGGAAAGCCCCAGGCTGGCTGTCAGCACTTTCTGAGCTCTGCATGAGACATCAATAAAGAAAGAATAGAAAAGGATCCAGAGGAGAAGCTATAGGATTGTGTAGGATTGTACACTGAAACTGAAGACACCCCTAGAAAGAAGAATCAAAGCTATGGGTGGGAGGAGCTGGAGCCATGACCCATCCCTTCCTCTCATCACAGCACAGCTGTGCTCCAATGGGAGCTGCCCCCAGCCAGGCTGTGAGTTTTCCAGGCACCCTCCCAAGGACTGCGATGCTGTCCCAGCTCCTACCTGGGCAATCAGAGCCTTGTGCTTCGCCATGAGCTCGTTCAGGTCCTCCTGGTCCATATCGATGCGCTTCAGGAGGTCGGCTCTCTCATGCTGCAGCTGGTTGAGCTGCTCATCCACCTGCGGGAGGATCCATGGGGCCACTTCAGCATCCCACTAGTGCACCCCAGCACTGCGCAGACCATGGGATGCTCTGGGATACACCGGCCTCCAACCCTGTGCTTTACCAGGAGAGGCAAAGGGCGCCCTGTGCCTTTGCACCCTTGTAGTCATTGCATCCACCCATTAAACCACCCTGGGGCTGTTGGTGGGTGGGTGATTTAATAAATCATGGAATGGTTTGGGATGGACCCTAAAGCTCCTCCAGTTCCAACCCCTGCCACGGGCAGGGACACCTTCCTCCAGAGCAGCTTGCTCCAGGCCCCTGTGTCCAACCTGGTCTCACCCCAACACCCTGCCTGGTGGTTTAATAAACCTGCATCTCCATGCACACACCAGGGCCTTGCTTCTGCTCAGGGTCTCCAGCTCCATGTGCAAGCTCTCCAGCTGCTGCGCCGCTGCCTGCTGGGTCCTCTGGGCCTCTGCGCACCTCGCTTCGCTCTCTTCCAACTGGGAGAGATCGGGAGAGAAAGCAGTGAAAGGAGCAGAATGCACGCTCAGATCCCCGCATTCCCCTTACCTCCCGGCTTCTTTGCTCTTCGCCCCCAGCGCATCTCCCCTGCTATTGCACCTCTCGCTGCCGCGGCCCAGGGAGAGCCGGGATCATTAATTTGCAAAATTATGGGAATTACGTGTAATTCCTGATTAGAGCAATTCATGGTTCCGAGCTCGCAAATGGGCTTTTCACGTGGCATAAATCGCATTTGCAAATACACACGAAATCCCCCATTTAGAAATGCTAATTCTGCTCCCGGTTTTTATAGCTCAGCCGTTAAGACTTACAATGGTCTTAAATGGGCTGCGAAACATCTGGGAGATGCAGCAGCATCCCCCAAGCGCACAGTGCCGGGACGGAGGCGGCTGTACCTGAACAGCCAGTTCCTTCTCTCTCGGTACCCTTTCTTTCTCTTCCTTACCATAAAGAAGCCTAAACCCCTCCGCTCGCTGCTCATTTCCCACACCCGGTCCCGGTTTCCCTGCAGAGGATGCAGAGCTCCCAAGGGAATGGGATCGCTGCACACCACAGCTCCCAGCAAACCAAAGGCTCCCAAGAAGGAGAGTTGGAGCCTTTTAGGCTATTTTCTCCGGGTTTACTTGTGGATTTTAACTCCCGCCCTTTAAAACCAGGGGGGATTATGAAGCACCACAACAGGAGCAATCCTCGGCTCATCTCCCTCGATTGTTTGGGGTGATTGAGACCTACTCGAAGTTGAGCGGGTAGTTTGCTTCCTCAGTGCCCAATCTGCAGGGGAAATGGAAGTCCCTTAAAGTCAATGGCTCTTTTTATACTCCTGGCAGGGCACCTCTTCCGTCTCCATCCCCGGGCCTCAGCGATAGCCTTTCCTGCACTGCATCCCCTTCTCACTATCTTTAACCTCTTCGGTGAGAAAATCTCCACCTCCTGGGACCACCACCTCCATCCCTGAGCCCTTCGGTCACCCCTGCATGACCCAAGGAACAGATGGGAAGAAATAAACCCCAACATCTTCGTGTCTCCAGCTTTGAGCCTGCCAGAAGCTACTCACTGTGGGAAAGACAAAGCTCTGGCACGGCGGCATTTGGCACTTTGAATGCTACAGAAAGGCTGTGCCGTGCCCAGACTCAGCCTGTGCTGATGGTCGGGTCTATTCATACACCTGCAGAGCCATGTGCTGTGCTCCCCTTCCTTCCAGGCGCTGAGAAATAGCCCTTGGGTTTGCATAAGGCTCAGGCATGACCAAAATGAACCAAGTGATGGCTGCTGGGAGGTGTTAAAGGTGCCAAGCACACCGACTGCTGGTGTTGTGGCCAAGGGCTTTTCCACCGGCCCAGCGCCAGGCTCCTCCAGGATCAACCCCATCCACACCAACCATGGCATTTCCCTTGCCACGATCACACTGAAACTCCAGATCCAAGAGAAACACATCCCAGCAGCTCTCATTAAATCCCAGCCTCCATTTCACTTCGTGTAATGGAATTTTCCCACTTGGGAGGAATAAACTGAAATCCCCTCCCCTCCCAAAATGCATAATGTATGAACTTCAGAACAACAGGAGTTTGTGCTGCACCATCTGTTAAATACCTGCGTAAAATGGATGCTTCAGCCTTATTAAGAAACAATGCTACACTCGCAGCCATATGGATTTTGATTAACGGGAATGTAGCATTTCAGCAAAGCCCTTGCTCCTGGGGAGGTTTGTGGGCTGGTGCGAGGATGCATGGGCTTTTGAGAGAGTCGTCATGAATGCCATTAGGAATGGGCTCGATTTAAAGGACGCAATAAAGAATCCTGCGGCATTTTAACGCAGGCAGAGCCTCGGTGCCGGTGGTGCAGTAAAATGTCAGCATCCCCAACATTTGGGCTCTCTGCTCTCTTCCAAAACAGGAGGCAGCCGGGCAGAGGCTGGGAGGGAGCTGGCATGGGCCATAAGGCACCACAGGAAGAGAAAGCGCTGATGTCCCGCAGGAGCCTGCCTGGCTGCAGGGACCAGGATGCTCAGAGAACAAGGCAGTATTCCCACAACAAGGTGGGGCTGGATACCAAGGGTATGGCCATGCTCCAGCAATGCAATCACTGCCTGGTCCCTCAGATCAGCCTGTGGAAGGGTCCCTCAGCTCCAGCCCACTGCTGTGAGCTCCATCACTGAGCGTAGGGCACTGCCCCATGGGTGGGGAGGAGCAAAGCAGGGGCTGTGCATCACCTCCAGCCCCAAAGCAGGATTCAGGAAGTACTGAGGGGTTCGCTGCTAAGTGCAGCACTGCGCCATTAGCTCAATAATGTTCAAGAGAGAGCACAGCAGTGCCAGAAATGGCCATTCCCACTGCCCATGCCCAGCCCAGCCACGCCATCCCCTGCCCTGGCTGGCTGGGTCAGTAGCACAGGCATGGGCATAGATGTGAGCATGGGCATGGACACTGCACCAGGCCGAGCTCACCTTCCCCTTCTCCCTCAGCACAGGTGGGAACAGCTGCTGCTCACAGATGTTATTTATGCAGAACTATTACCCCAATTACATATGTGTGTTGTTGGAATTGCTCAGGCTTCCCCATTAGTTTGTTTCCAGGGGAAATGTACAGTACAGGTTAATTACTGGGTGGGTTGGAAGGACTGGCACTGTTCACTCAGTCCCGGCATAATGGGATGCACATGCAGGGCCAGCCTGTGGATGGACAGCCCCATGCCACTCCTGTCCCATGGGACCCTGAGCTCGCCCCAGGGCTGAGGCCATCCCTGGCGTGGGGGGCAAAGTGTGGCACAGGGCTGTGAACCTGGGCTGTCTGCACTTAAACTACAGCAAATCCACGGCAATCCCTGCTCCTGCTTCACAGCATCCCTATGGCAACGCCTCCCGAACGAGGCACCGCTCCTTATTACACAAACAGAAAACACTCAACAGAAGGTAATTAATAGGGATGCGGGGAAAAAGAAGGAGGCAAAAAGATACTTAACCACTGTTGGCTTCATGACAGAGAAGTGCTCCTCACAAGGAGGCCCTCACCAGTGCAAGAGGCACTTCTCACCGTGGCCTGGCGCAGCGCGGGGTCCCCTCACCACCCTCAAACCCAGGAGATGCGGGAATGCCTCTCGCAGGGTCCCACTGAGAGGTGATGCTCCAGGGCAGGGGATGCGGGCAGCACCCACCTGCCTGCGCAGCCGCTCCACGTCCTGGGCGCTGGCGCTGGGCTCTGCGGGCGCTGCCACCAGCAGCTGCACGTCAGCGAGCAGAGCCCGTGTCCGGCGCAGGTCCCGCCGCAGCCGCTTCTCCACATCGAAGTCCCGGTGGCCGATCTGGGGAGGGAGAAAGGGTTGTCCTGAGCGCTGCTGCCCCATCCCACCCCGCAGCCTCCGCTGGACCTGGCCAGCCATTGCCGAGGTGTCCCCACACAGTCTGAGAACAGGGAAACACGTTGGTAATGCTGAGGATGATGCGAGAAGGTAGCAAATATCCATGTGCAGATATTACCATTTTCCATCTATCAAACCATGGAACCCCAGCCTGGTTTGGGTTGAAGGGACCTCAAAGCCCATTCAGCTCCAAGCCCTGCCACGGGCAGGGACCCCTTCCACTGCAGCAGCTTGCTCCAAGCCCCTGTGTCCAACCTGGCCTTGAACACTGCCAGGGATGGGGCAGCCACAGCTTCTCTGGGCACCCTGTGCCAGCGCCTCAGCACCCTCACAGGGAAGAGCTTCTGCCTCAGAGCTCATCTAAATCCCCCCACTTCCATCTTTAATTTGATTCTTTAAATCCTAGTTAATCTTTTAATTAATAGTATTTATTTTACTTAATTAAATTATCAATGTCATTATTAAAATGATTTAATAGTTGGTGAAAGGGAGAAAATAAACTTTGTAAACACTAAAACTAACAGATTCCACCAAAATACCACATTTTTCCCTACCAGAAAGCTGTTCTTCTGAAAGCATTTCCCCTAGTGTCCATCAGCAACGTGCCAGCCCTGTGACCACCCATGGGATCAATGAACAGCCTGGCCATGAGATCAGGAGCACCCTCTCCTCTTACCACCGAGCATGTCACCCCCATGATGCAAGGAGCAGGGCCAGAGAGGGGCAGTGTCCAGTGTCTGCACTGAGAGCTGGCACAGGGAAGTCATGGTGTGAAAGCAAAAACAGCCAGAAAACCCTCTCTGCTCCTCTGGGGAAAACAGAGCCCAGGGCAAGGGAAAGCCAGCACAAGGGGGAAAGGGAAGAAAACACCAAATGCCAGCGAGGAGAGCTCCAATAGGAGTTATTTACACACCTCTACTGCAAAGCATCTGGAGCCCCCAGCAGCTGCAGAGGGATGTATCTGATGCTGCTGCTCTTGCTGCAGCACCACTGCTGGGTGATCGGGATGCTCACCCCGGGCATGTGGTGTCCCCACGTTACTCTGACGCCTTTTAAAGAAGGGAAGTGGGAAGCACCTTGGAAAAAAACCCTTTCCACTCCCCACTGGAGCTGAGAGCAACCATGGTTACGAGGATGAGAGAATGAGAGACAGCAAATAAACAGGGACGTGGTTTCAGTGCTGGATTTCAGGCCAATTGAGGTACAAGAGCTTCTCCATCGAGCCTGTTTGCCACATCTCTTGTTTCAAAGCTCTTCTCCCATTTTCTGTTCAGTGGCTAAAATTCATCGTGCGGCTCTGACACCGTAACCCTGTTCTGGTGCTGGAGCCAGAGACCATCCCAGTTCCATCTCCTTAATTAGTTTGCTGAGTTTCTTTCCTCTGTTCTAATAAACTGCTCTGAAGCACAGCATCCTCTGCAAATCACACAGCGTTTACAGCAAGCCTACAGCGCAGCAGGCTGCTGCTATCCCTGCCATCCCTATGGATGGGCTCAGCATCATTTCCCTGTAGCTCAGGGTCTACCCTGATGGATTTTGTGTCATCAATGGCAGCTGCCACCACCTCCCACCATTGCAGCCTGGTGCTTTTTAGGTTAAAAAGCTGGGATTTCATTCAATAACTGCTCACAAGCACTGTGGCAATTCCCTAGCTGCACCGTTCCATCCCTTTCTCCCCTGCCATGTCCACTGCGCTCAGTGGGGCCAGTCTTGGTGAGGAGAAGGTGTCTTTCCTCAAGAGCCACTCCTCATCCATCTTAGTTCTCCTCCACTGAGCAGGAGGGACGTGCTGGACTGAGAGGCACTTGTAATCATAGCCTGCTTTTATACAGCGAGATTTATACTGACAGCCCCCACAACATTTTATAAGCCAGGAGCAGGGCCGATGTTATGGATAAGCCTCATCGGACCATTTTGTGTCTATGTGAAATATGCCCAGCATTCCAGCGCTCCCGGAGTCATCCCTTGTGATGAACACATGCAAGTGCCAGGGTTGGTGAGCTGGTGAAACCCAGCTTGTGCCAGTGCCTGGAGGACACGGTGCCTGATGACCAGGTAACCGGCTCCTCCTCTGCTGTGTGCAGGGGGGTGCAGTGTGATGGGGGCATAGCACCAGGGAGCCCTGGGGTGCACCAGCACTCAGATGGACTCTGAGCACACTGCTCTGATGCCACCCTCAGCCCCAGCAGCCCCTTGACCCCAGGGAAGGGCCAGGCAGGACCTCACTTGGTCTCCAGAGCTCCTTCAGCAGGAGCTGTGCATGAGGCAGCCCCTGGGCCTGGCTGCTGGGTGATGCTAAGTGATGCCCAGCCAGATAAATGCTGCTCAATGAGGCAGCTTTCAGCCCCTCGCCTTCTAATTTAACAGGGAGCAGCTGTGTGTGTTTTTCCCATTACATGCACTTCAATCACTGCCACAGACACATTAGAGAGTGAAAAAGGATTTGTTCAATAAATGCGGCTGGGGCAGAATTCCTCTGCAAAGAGGGGAATGGGATGAACTGCCTTTCTGGGCAGCTGGAGCCGCTCCAGCCGTTTGGCTCGCATGAAAATACCAGCAAAAAGCAGATGACTCCCCCAGCTTAGAGAACCCCCAGCTCCCCTCCATGGGGCTGGCTGGGTCCTGCACGATGCCTGCAGCCCCAGAGCCCTCCCAGCACCCAGTGCGTGCTGCAGCACGTGCCACTGCTCGGATGGGCAGCGTTTGGAAGGGCATCGCTGCCGGCTGTGCGTGAAGAGCCAAGCTGCTGCCCATCCACACACACACACTCGCATTCACACCCCTTTTGTTATGGGGTTTGAGCCAGGGCATGGGTTTAGCAGCCAGGAGAGCAGAGTGAGCTTCTCCCCACCAGCAGCCCCTGGGGTGGGCTCTGTGCTCTTACCTGCTCACACAAGGTGCTGATGAGCCCTTCCAGGTCCTGCTTCTCATGCAGCACCATCTGCTTCTCCTCGTGCTCCTGTTCCAGCTGCATCTCCAGCTGCCGGAGCTGTGCATGGGAGACAACCACAGCCCTGCTCAGAGACCAGCATCCCCTGCCAAGGCACCGTGTGGCTCAGCCACAGCAGCCCCAGGATGGTGCACACTGAAACCTCCCATCACTGCAGCCAGTGCTGGGGACCAGGGATGGGCCACATCCCCTGGAGCATCTGCTGCCCTCAGGCAGTGCAAGGGCCAGGGGAGCAAGGGGAAGCAGTCCAGGAACCTATAGGATTGCTGGGGATGTGCTGGGCTATTTAAGCTAATCCACACTCAGAGGTCCCCGAGGGGTGCCCCTGCAGCTCTGGAGCAGTAGCACAGAGCCCTGAACCACGCAGAAGAGGAGTTGGCTCCAATCCCTGCCACTGCTCAGAAACAGGGCTCAGAAGGGGAACGGAAGCAGGCTGCTAAGGATCAATTGCTCTCTGGTGTCCCTCTGCCATGTACTCATTTGGAAAATAATAGTCAGGCCATGCAGGGTGAGGGAGAGAAGGGATGAATGGCTCTGCTGGCTGAGAGAGCCGCAAGGCACAGCATCTCTAGTGATGCTGGCACTCTGCACAGGGCAATTGGACAGGCAGAGAGGTGCGGAAGGACAGGGAGGACCCAGGGGAGGATCCCTCAGCAATGCATCCCCACAACCAGCCCAGAGCTTCCAGCATCCAGCAGAAGGGGAGCACAGGGGGAAACGGTGTCTGCACCGTGGCAGCCCCCGTAGCACACAGGGCTTTATGGCTTTGGGCAAGACTCTGTGCTGACAGGAGCAGAGGTTGCCTCATTTGCCTTTCCACTTGTCCTGCCTTCCTAAAATAGCACATGCAAAGCCCCACTGGCTGCTTCACTGAGCCTCGGCAATGCTAATTCACTATGGCCAGCCAGGTATGCCCCAGGCCTGATGCGAATTGGCTGCTACCACACACCCCACATCAAACACCCCGGGGGTTCTGCAGAAACTGGAGTTCCTGTTCACATGCCACCGACCTCATGGCCTTGTTGAAGTGGTATTTTCTGTTCATTAGCACCCGACACAAAGCCCTGTCTGGCTGGAGCTGTGCCTTCAGCATGATGCTGGTGCTACCAGGAGCAGCATCTCATGTGCTGCATCGCACATGGCTCTTGTGCACCATCCCTGCAGCCCCTCCAGCACATGGGGACCTACGTCTGCCCCAGACCCTCATTCTGCACCCTGGGGCTGAGGCTGGGGCTCACGCTGGGGAAGCAGCGAGGAGGAAGGACCCCTGTGCAGCCAGCATCATCCCCACCCCATCGCCGACCTACCCTCCTCTGGCAGGACTGCCGCACATCCTCCAGCTCCTCATCCTTGTCCTCCAGCTCCTTGTGGTGGATCTGCTTCATCCGCTCTATCTCCAGCTCCAGGCGCTGGTGTTGCTGTAGGACCCACAGGGGATGCCCGGCGGTTGCAGACAGCCCCGGAGGGATGGGGATGCTGCAGGCTTAGCACACGAGCAGCGGTGAGCATCCCCAGCCACGGTACCTGCTCCAGGTGATCAACAGCGGCCGTTTGCTGCTCCAGCTCCTTCCTCTGCTCAGCAGCGCTGGCCTCCATGTCCCAGAGCTGCTTCCGGAGGGCAGGCACTGCCCGGGCATCCATGGTGCTGGGGGTGCTGAGCTCCTCCACGCGGCCGGCCAGCACCGACACCTTCTGCGTCAGGCCGGACACCTCTGCCTCCTTCTGCTGCTCGGGGGGCAGAGCAGGGGGTCAGGGGCTTTGCGCTTGCGCCCTGCTCCTGACACCCAGACCATTCCCAGCTGCACCCTCAGGACCATCCTCAGACCCTGCCTGCACCAGCAGCCCCATCCCCATCACAAGCCCTGGGGCGGCTGCAGCAGCGTTGCAGCTCCCGCAGCCCCAGCACACCACGTCCCTGTGGCCTCTTTCAGGTGAGGCTGTGGGTAGAGGGGTGAAGAAGAGCACAAGTGGCTTCGGTGGAAATGAGGGGTTGGTAATGCGCTCAGCATGAGTGGTTATCACTCATGTACAATGATAGCCTTTCTTCTGGCAGAGCATGATGGCATTTAAATACATTAGGCGCATCCTAGAACTGCACTGAAAGAAACTGGAATCAAGTTGCTGGGCTTGTGCCTGATTGCCTCAGCTATAATTACAGAGATAATGGCTCAGCTCTGAGAGCTCTTCCCGAAACTGGATATAACGCCACAAAGTGGGATATTCCCCTCTTACCTCCAAGCGCTGCTGGAGTTTGCCCATCTCCCAGCGGATGCTGCTGTTCTCCTGCGACACTTTCTCACGGAGGCTCTTCTCAAAGGCAGACTCCCCCAGGGCCTGGGCTAACTGCAGGTCGAACCTGGGTGGGGAAACACAGCTCACCTCAGCGCCTTTGTATCTCTGGGTCAGAGCAACCCCCAGCCCTCCGTCAGCATCTCAGCACAGGACAGCAGGGAACATGAGAAATGAAGGGTAAATTAAAAGGAAATATAATGCAGTTGTTTTCCCATGTTTTCTGTGCCTGCTTGGCATCCAATTTTGGGGCAGAAAACCCATTTCCTTTGAACAGCAGCACTAAAGCACTGGGGGTCATTTCTTATGCTCCTCTGTTGCACAACCATGTTTGCCAGCGGTGCTCCCAGCACAAGCACGTGCACACCAAGGACACACGGGGTACCCCAGCCCAAGGATGCCCCAAGCCCCAGCATCCCTCCCCAGAGCATCACACCGAGAGCGATTTCCATTATGGAAGGAGGTTACAGTCACCCAGCCACGCGATGCAAACCCCCCCTCATGCTCCGTGCACCCTCCACCAGCCAAAGCAGAAACAGCAGCAGCCCCCCCTTCCTCCCCAGCCTCACCTTTTCTGCCTCTTCTCCAGCTCGTGGCTGCGGCTCTGCTGGCTCTCGGCGAGCACCCGCGCATCCTCCAGCTCGCAGGCCAGGCGCCGGCACCGCCGCCGCAGCTGCTGCGATGCCCTCTTGGCCGCCTCGCATGCTGCCTGCGCCGCGCCGAGCTGCGGGCACAGCGGGTGAGACCCCACAGCATGGAGGCCCCGGCGCCAGGGATGGGTCACCCCAGACCCACCACGAACCAAGACCGCCCCCCACACACCTGCAGCATCCCAGCCCTGCTCCTAAAACCCAGCGCTGGATCCCTCAAGGAATCAGATCGTGTTTGGGATACGGATACACACAGAGCTCTTGCTGGCCAGAGAATGGAGCCATTAAGGAATGACTTTAAATAAGCAAAATCTTGCATTAATGGAGCCTGTAATTCCAAACCAACTATCGGGGTAAATGGGCTGTTTTGCTTTACCCAAACTCCAACGACCGGCCTGCTTTTCTTATTACTTGTTAATGTACCATGAATAATATCAATTTATTTGGTTTATCCTCATGGGAAGTGACCTGGCTCCCAGGAACGGCTCTGGGAGGCACAGTGGCTCTTTCCCTCCTCATGGCAGAGCTCGGGAACTGCCATCTCTTTACTTTAGCAGCTCTATGCATGAGGGATGATGTGAGCACGGTACCCAAAATACAGCTCAGCACCAAGACCCACCACTGAGGCCCTCCCCACCCTGTGCTCATGCTCACGCTTAACCATGGTTGAATTTTGCCACGTTCTGGTGCAAAACTGGTTTTATAAGCTTGAAGGAATTTTGGGATATTTATTCTCAAACCAGTGGCCAGTGAAAGCATCAGCCCCAAGTGGCTGCGTTTCTGAGCCTCAGCCTGCCCAGGGAGCAGGGAGAGGAGCCCCAGCTCCAGCAGCATCCCTGCGCCATGGCCGGCAGCACTTGCCTTCTGCTCCAGCCCGGTCCTGGTGCCCCGCTCAGACTCGAGGCGCTGCTCCAGCTGCACCAGCCGCTTCCGCAGGAAGGAGATCTCCGTCTGCGCGCACTCGAAGCGCGCTTGCCACTCGTCCTCTGCCAGCAGAGACACACAAGAGGGGCTGGGGGGTGCTCGGGCCCAACCAGCCATGCCAGGGCAGGATCGGTGAATACACAACAGCACCGCGGCTCCTGCATGGCACAGATGCCAGCACCAAGCTCGTAGGGGTGCAGCTCTGCTCCAGCTCACACAGCACAGGTACCCCCACCTTCAGCAAAGCACGCGTGCTCATCCCATCCCATCCCACCCCATCCCATCCCATCCCACCCCATCCCACCCCATCCCATCCCATCCCACCCCATCCCATCCCATCCCATCCAACCCCATCCCATCCCATCCCACCCCATTACCCCCATCCCATCCCACCCCATCCCATCCCATCCCATCCTCCTCATCACTCCACAACATGCTTCAACCACACTGCCAGGTAGTGCCAGTCAGTGCTGGCAGTGCCCTTAGGCAGAATCCCTGCCTGCATCCCAGCTCCATGCAACAGCCAGAGCTGTGCATGCTCCTGCCCTTGCCAGCTCCTTGCTGGGTAAGCATTGCAGAATGACAACACCGTGCTGTGAAAGCAGCACTGCTTGAAGGGGCAAACCAAAAGGCTTTTGTGCCCTGCAGGGACAGGTCAGACTGGATGCCCAGAGCATGCATCACCCCGAAGGGACACCCCTACCTCCTCCAGAGCCACTTATCTTCATCTCATGCAACTGAACCAGCTGCTGGGCCTCCTCCAGCTGCTTTTCCACTGACTCCAGTTTCTTCTGCACTTGGTCGTGTTTGCTCTGGGGGATGTGGGGAAGGAGGGAGCAGCTTTACCCGGCTCCGAGGCACTCAGGTCTGAAGGCAGCATCACCACCGCCATGGCCCAGCATGTCAGGGCTCTCCTACCTGCAGCTCCTGCAGCTCCCGGGCTCCCCGCAGCCTCTCTGCCCGCTCCCCATCCAGGACCTGGCAGGCGACATCGCCCTTGTACTGCTCGTCCGAGAGCTCCGTGTTCAGGTCGATGATCTGGGGGGGAACAGGGAGTCAGACTGGGTAGTGCTGTGCAGGCATCAACCCGAGGATCCCGACTGCTCACACTGCCTGTGCTTAGGGGACATGGTAAGTGCACACCAGCACCAACCAGTGTCAGCAGAACCCCGGGCTCCCATTGACAGCACCCAGCAAAGAGCAACCGCTGCAGGAGCCTGTGGCTGCATCCCTGCAGGGGATGTGCAGGACACTTCTGCATGCCACCTCCTCAGTGTTAGCACTGATCCCATGGAGCCAAGTCACCTGTGGTGCCTGCACAGGTCAGCAAGCCTGCAGTCCTGAGAGCATCATGGGCTACATCAGTGTGTAATTTCCCGTTCTAATTGCAGCCTTTCAGCAGCAGAAGGGGTGACACTCGCATCGCCACACTCCAGCCTCATGCACTGCACTGCTGGCAGCACAGGGTGACATCTGCCCTTGCTGCAGGGGACATGAGGCTTTCCCTGGGGACACCCCTGGGAACAGCCCGCTCCCAAGGCATCTGGGCTGCTCTCTGGGTGCAAGCACTCACTGCTGAGGCAGGCAGGGTCCCACCCAGCATGGACCCTGCAATGATGCTGGTCCTGAGTGCTGCAGTTGGGCAATGCAGGGCTGTTACAGATGTGTCTGGGGGCTCTACAGCAGCGTTTGGGGGCTCTACCTTGCTCTCCAGCTTCTCTGCGTTCTGCCTGAGCTCGCTGCATTCCTGCTCGGATTTTTCCAGCTTCCTTCTCAGCGCTGCCAGCTCCTCCTAGGGAAGATTGCAAAACAGCACACATGGAGAGCTCCAGCATCCCCAGCTTACTGATGAAAACCTCGTTTTCTGTTCAGAAGAAGCAGGAGAGGCACGGCTGCCTTATTAATACAATTCACCAGGCAGCTTTGAAGGCTGCTCACTGTAAAGTGCCGGGACTGCAGCTCCTGACAGGAATTCCGTCGGAGGGACCGCCGGCTCTGCTGCGCGCACTGGGCACGCTGCATGAGCAAGCAGCAGCCCTCAAAGGCTGGGATGAGCAGCCAAGCGCTGGCATCCTGCTCGAGGAGCATTCCCGGGGCCCTGGCCGGCTGTCACAGCGCGGGGGCAAAGGCACCCTGCTTGCTGTGATCCCTTTCCTGGGTCAGCAGATGCCCATTAACCACCCTCGTCTCCAGTGGCAGCACAGGGGAAAGCCAGCACAGCGCTGGGGACAGTACAGAGCAGTCCCTTGCCCCAGGGGTGTGCTCGGCTGCTCAGCATCCATCATCCTACAGACTGACATGGGGCATCCATCTACAAACGGCTTGGCTCAGCAGACCCAGAACCTTGCAGGGGGCATAGGGAGGGCAGTGGGGCGGCCACGGCCCTAGAACAGGGCTTTGGCTATGGGGAGACGGTGCATTTGTTACTCTCCCCCTAAAGGAGAGTTATTTCTCTCTCCACAGCAAAATGCATTACTTAGGGCAAAAAATGCAGTGCCAAGAACAGATGACAGCTTCTGATGGTCAGTAAAACATCTCTGCTCTGACAGGAGTGACTTCTGTCCAACCTGCCAGACAGAGCCCCTAAAGGATCCCATCCCATCCCATCCCATCCTTCAATGCATACTTCTTTGGCCTGGAGCTGCTCCTCTGTGAGGTTAACGCTGAGCAGGGGCCGCACACGGCTCAGGAGCTGCCACCAGGGCCAGTGCCTGATGGCCTGGAACACCACCAGGTTCTTCTGGATGCAGCGGGTGGCCAGGCGCTGGATCTTCAGCCTCTTGAAGTTCTGGCGGCTGAGGAAGCCCTTGCACGCAGCCTGGAGCAGGATCATCTTCTGGGCTATCAGCTTGTCCCGCTGCTTCTCCAGTCGGGAGATGACTCCCGGCTTCAGGAAAATCTGATGGCAAGAAATGGACATTCGGGATGGGGTCTGAAACCTGCCCGGGGCCAGTGGGATGTGTTTATAGCGAACACCCTGCAGCCCCCCAGAGACCTGCAGGGGACTGAAGGTCCTTGGACAAGTGCATGAGACCCTGCACCAGCCTTAGAGCAGCTCCAGTGCCTGAAGGGGCTGCAGGAAAGCTGGAGAGGGGCTTGGGACAAGGGCCTGTAGGGACAGGCCAAGGGGAATGGCTTGAACCTGCCAGAGGGGAGACTGAGATGAGCTCTGAGGCAGAAGCTCTTCCCTGTGAGGGTGCTGAGGCACTGGCACAGGGTGCCCAGAGAAGCTGTGGCTGCCCCATCCCTGGCAGTGCTCAAGGCCAGGTTGGACACAGGGGCTTGGAGCAAGCTGCTCCAGTGGAAGGGGTCCCTGCCCGCGGCAGGGGTTGGAGCTGGAGGAGCTTTAAGGTCCCTTCCAACCCAAACCAGGCTGGGGTTCTGTGATACAGATTTGCTGCCATTGAATTCAGCCCGTATCGATCTCTCAGTGTAAGGTCCCTGTCATTGCCTGGGGAAGCTCTCGGCACATGGGACTGATCCGTCCCCACTACTGTGCCCCATTTACATAATACAGCTATAACAAACACTGAATTACACTTGTGAAGCCAGTGGCACGCTTAGAGCTGCATTTGAAAGATGCTAAATTGAATCAGAGAACAATCCCAAGGAAACTCCCTTTCCAGAGATAATGCTATGATTGCTCCAGCACCTACCTGATTGCCTCATTAACGTCTGTGTTAACTTCAGAAGACAGTAACTTTAGAAGCTAGTGCAAAATCAATGCTCAAAGCAATGGCAAAACTAACTCTCCATAACAAGATGTGACTGGAGCTGCTATTGCGCTATTGATTAAGTACAAGGGTTTCATAGAAGAGGTAATTGCAAACTGCACTGTGCAGGATAAAAGAAAGTTATTTTGTGCCACAGAACCGTGCCATGAATCCTTTCTCCATAGACTCCGGGAGCCGCGGGTAAGCACGCAAGCAAAACTCAGTTTGCTTTGAGATTATCACATTTAAGTCCAAACGCTGCTGCTGCGATGCCTCAGCTGCCCGGCTGTGCAGCGTTAACCCCAGCCCACCAAAACCACCTTTTGGTGCCCAATCCTCATTAACTCCCAGGAGATATCAAAGGCGAAGAGGAAGATCAGTGCCACGAGGGCTGGATTTCGATAACAAGGTACACACGTCACCACACTTCACAGTCACGTTTTGAACGCTCTCAAACGTGAATTAGGGCCCTTCTGTTTTGATGCTTGGTGAGGCTTGGTTTCCCAGCCCCCTGGGCACAGCAGAAGAAAGGGGTTCTCCCCGCCTTGGGAAGCTTCGGGCAGCTGGAAGTGCCTGGCATGGCACTGGCTCTGCCTGTACACACCGAGAGCAAGGGGGAAGCAGAGCCAGGAGCCATCGTACCTGGCTGCGCCCGATGGCAACGCTGCTCTTCTCCAGATCCAGCGCCTGGAAGAGCTCCTGTATGGCCTGTGGAGGAGGAGCACATCACTGAACTGCTCAGAAAACACTGACACCCTGATAGGAGCCTGCTGAAATAGGGCACAGACCCCTGGTCCTTGTGGGCACCCAAGTAAGGGTGCACCCAGCCCCGAGTCCTGCTGTGAGAAGGGTAGAGAGCCCCCATCCATGGGTGGCTGTGGCTGGAGGCTACTGAGGGGAAGGTGAGAGCCCATCCAGCCAACAGCTCTGCCTGTGGGGCTGCAAGCAGGAGAGAAAGCACCAAGTTCCCCCTGGAGCCAAGCGGTGCAGAGCTGAGCCCCTGCAGGGAGGCAAGTGGGAAAAGAAGCCTGAACTCAGTTACCCTGAGCTTTGGCCCTGTGCATGCATGCAGCAGCCAGGAACACCGCACATCTCCCCAGGGCAGCCAACGCTACCTGGACAAATTGATGATGTGGAAACCCCAGAGCTCCCGAAATTGAAACGAAACCCCTCCGCTAATGCTTCACTCAAACAGCAGCCTCTGGAGGCCACACACATCTCCTCCATGAAGAATCATTGCACTGTGGCCCCTGGAGCACCTTGCTGCAGCAGAACTGCACCGCAGCCTGCAGCCCTGCATGCCGTGGGGCAAGATGGGGATGGAGCATGCGAGTACATGGGGATATGGAGCAGCACCATGCATGAAACAGTGTGCCAGAGGTGAGGAAGTGCCTGCTACTGAGACACGGCTGGAACAGTGCAGGACCGCCCCATCCCATCCCATCCCATCCCATCCCATCCCATCCCCAACAGCAGGGCCAGCATGAGCACAGGGTCAGTCATTGCTGCACCACCACCCTCACTCCACACAAGCATCTCTCGTGCTGCAGTGGCCGAGTGAATGCACTCACTGGGAAGCAGCCTCCCGCTAACAGCGCATGGCAGTGAGCTCCAGGGAGGCCGGGATTTTCCAAATCCGCAGCTTACACAGTGCTGACAAGGCACCCTCTGCCTCCTTACCGCGTTTAATAACAACATTGACCTTTTCTGGCTGTCAAACTTGTCTTATTAAATCCCGAGGTCTTAACTGAATCCGCACACCCTGGCTGGCAGCTCGCACAACAGAGCACGTGCCCATGTTTAATTCATCTCCTCCCGCCTCTTCCCGGCTCTCAGTGCCTCTCACAGCCTGCTCCAGGGACACAGGGGGGGTCTCCCAAGTCTCTGCTATAAATTTATTATGAAACAAATAAAACTGGCAAATCGCCATCTTCATTCCTGAGCTCCCCTCAGTTTCAGGCTTTGTGGGATGAGGTGAGGAGCCACCCTGGGCTGCTCCTTTACAAGGGCCTGAAGGCAGATGATGCCCCATCGCCAAGAACCTCCATTGCCCTGCTCTGATGAGTCCCTCAGAATGCTGCCTGGCTTGTCCTCAGCCAGCCAGTTTTTGAGGAGCCAGGGCAAGAGATGGGTGCTGCCATGCTGGGATCCCTGCATCCCAGCAACAACAGATGCCTGAGTAAGGCAGGGCCTGGGAAGCAGTTCCTGTCCCAGGGCAGGGAGATGCTGGCATCACCTCTTTGCAGAGAGGACAGCGGGGCTCATGCAGGGCACAGGCAATGCCAGCACAGCGGCTACCTGCAGGGAGCTGCAGGAGTTGCTCCTCCTTGCAAAGAAAGCCCTTACAGCACTGGGAAAGGCTGGAGGAGCTCCAGCACCGGTACAGCCCGGTGAGGGGCTCCCAGGCCACATTCCCCATGCCACCCAGCACGTACCTTGCTCTCATCCGGCACCTCGTAGGCAGAGGTGTGCTTCTTCATGACATCCGGAGCCAAGACCTGGAAGCGCCTTCGGAACTGGGTGAGGAGCAGGCGATCCGCATACCCTGGGGACACACAGACATCACTGGGGGCTGCACCAGCCTCGGGGCACGGGGCTCTCACCAAACACCGGGGAGGGAACTGGCAGTGGGGGCTGAGGTGAGGGGTACCTCACCCCAGGGTCATGTCCTGTGCACACCAAGAGGCATTGAGGGTGATGGGGACTAGGGAGCTATAGTGAGGGCAGGGTAGCGGGAGCAGGGAAGCAGCAGAGGTGCACTTGAGGTGGCCAGACACCACCCTAGAACCTCCTGCCATGCAGTAGATGCCCCTGGGCTGCCTGCATGGGTCCCTCTCCCCCTGGCAGTGACTGTGACCGTGGTAGGCGCAGGTCTAGCTCGACGCATGGATGCTCCAGAGGGAACATGCAGGCAAGAGAAGGGCTGGGAACCCCTGCAGAAAGCAGCGAGAAAACCTCGAGGGCTTTCTGAAGCGGGGCTGGAGAGAGGCAGATGAGGAGCAAAGCCAGGTGTGGATGGGCAGCGGCGGGGGGCCGGGCCTACCGATGCGGTGCAGGCGCAGGGCATCCAGGAGCTGGGTCCCCTCCAGCTGTGTCCGCAGGGTCGGCACATCCAGCTGCGGGGCTGCGTCGGGCGGCGCGGGGGGACGAGGCAGCGGCCCCTGGGGCCCCGCTCCCGGGAGCAGGCAGTGCACGAAGTGCAGCCGGGACCGGCGGAGGAGGCTCGTGAGCGCGTCCTGCCGGGCAAGCAGGGATGAGCGGGGATGGAGCCGTGGTGGGGACCCCCCCGCACCCCTCGCAGTCATCCTCAGAACCCGCAGAGCTCAGTGCGTGTCAGGAACAACTTGGGTCCGCGATGCGAGCCCAGCATAGAGGTCACAGAGGCTGAGCGCGACCCTTCCTACTGAAACCCCACGTTCCCAGTTGATGAGCTACAGGGTTGAGGGTCGCTGGGTGAGGGTTTGCCAGAGACACCCAGGCCCTCAAAGCAGGCTGGGAGAGCAGTCAGCAGAGACTGTGCTTCGCTCCTCGAGAGCCTTTAGGCACCTGATTACGGCTGAGGTCAGCAGGAGCTTGGCACGCACCCAGCACGGATGCTGCCCCAGTTGCCAGAGTGCTTAAGAGGATCAAGCGGTGCTCAGCGAGGTGCTGTGCGATCTGCTCCATGACCCCTTTGCCTGGGATGCTCCCGCGTGGCCACAGCAGCACCCCGGGCTCAGGGCGCTGCAGGACTCAGCCCCGCGCACTCACCGCCTGCAGCTTGAGCTGGGCGCACACCGACCGCTTCCTCACGGCCGCGAAGCTGCTGGCGAAGCTCTTCCTGACGCAGGCGCTGCGGTGCAGGGCTGCCTGCGAGCGTCCCTCCAGCCCCGCCACGGCCCGGCAGCCCAGCGGCGCCCGCACCCGCGGCTCCAGCAGCTCCCGCACGGCCTCGCTGCGAGCAATAAGCAGCGGGGTCAGTGCTGGGGGTCCTCGGCTTCAAAGCCCCTTCCATGGGGATGCAGCCCCCCAGCATCCCAACTTCAGCATCAGTGCAGCCGCAGGGCACCCAGCCCTGGAGCAGAGCAGGGTGCCGGGACACCTCCCGCCCCTCTGCTCCTCTCTGGTTTGGGCACTGAGCTGCCCACCTCTGTTGAAACTTCCCTGAATGGAAGCCTGAACCAAAAGGAGCTGGGAATGTTTAAGCACAGGGTCAAAGTCCTGCCGTGTGCACAGACATTGGCAGCAGCTCCATTACATTTCAAGTCCAATTTAGTGTACAAAGTTCCTTGAGGAGGTGGGGGAAACCTGCCCCATTGCTGCACAGGGACCCGACCTTGGGCAGCGATGCTTCACAACTGAATGCCCACCCTATGGCACTGTGGAGCCAAGGACATCGTGGGGTTTGCCTGGTGCCCCCCATTCCCCCACTGCCCACGCCTGCAGGAGGAGAACCCCACCGAAAGGCCAATGTCACGGATGCACTGACTGGAAGAAGCCAGACAGCTCTGATGGGAAGCTGTTCACTGCGGTGCTCTTCACCAGCTCGCCCGCAGCATCTGCTGTGATCACAGTGTGTACATCCTGCTGTCAGTCAGCCCCAGGGCTTGATGGCTGCGAGTCAAATCACTTGACATCTGCTCCCCACACCTCAGCTAGGCTCTCAGGATTCCCACAAAGCTGGGCTGAAGCTGTGGGGGTTTATGGCTTCCTTGCACTGGTGTCAGCATGTGCCTGGGGCTGCCCGGCAGACAGGATCCCATCAGCTCCGTGCCCATCTAAAGCCAGATCGGCTCCATCACTGCACTGTGCATTGGACAGGAGGTGTGGGGATGGGCAGCACCGAGGCTGCAGGGCCCCTCCTGCCTGCTGAGATGCCCCACACAACCCCCTCCTTCCCCACCACGAGTGGCCTCCCAGAGCTCAGGCAGCTTTGCAGTCTCAGCTCCCACTGGCATCATCCCCATCCCACTCCACTGCCACGGGATCCCAATCCCACTCCCACAGGGATGACAGCACCACGGCCCCTCGCTCGTACTTACACTGTGGACTGCTGCAGCACCTGCAGGGCGTTCTGTGCCGAGAGGTTGAACTTGGCTTTGCTGACCCAGCCCGTCAGGTCGTAGCGCACGGGGTCTGTGCCCAGCCTGTGGTTGATCTCAAAGTGCAGCCCCTGCTCGCACCTCCGCATGTGGCTGTCCCCTGCAGGAGCAACCCCAGGACAAAAGCTGTTTAACCAGCTACACGGGCTCTTCAGCTCCCACAGCTACACTGTGATGCCAAAGGACGGGGGCAGAGCTGGTCCCAGCTTACCCTCCTGGTCGGGTCCCTCTGCAGTGAAGTAGGAGCACAGGCGGTCGAAGGCGGCTCCATCCCCAGAACCAGGGGTCAGTGCCTCCTCATCCAGGATCCACAGCAGCCCCCTGCGGTCGGATCCCGGGCTGCCCGGCAGCGCCTGTGGCTGCAGAGGGATTGGGTTTGGGAATGGGGCAGCCGTGCCAGCCTGCTCCCCACCACCGCTGTCCTGCGTCCCCGGCCCCAGAACAGTCAGAACAGGGTTGGGAAACCCTCCTGGCCCCATCCAGCTCCGGACACCTTCACCCTTGAGACCTCCGCAGCCACACAGCATCCCAAAGGGACCAGTCATCCCGCTCTGCAGCCAGGCTGGGAGATGTGCCCGGGGTGCAGGCCTTGGACAGGATGGGTGCTTGTATTTTAGGGTGATGCTGCACCCTCCCCTGCAGCCCCACAGGCTGCTCTGTACCAAACACACCACGAGGCCCTGCTCTGCCCCTGAATCCCTCCCTCCTCGGAGCAGGAGGATGCTCCAAGTGCGACCGGAGGAAGCAGCTCCCATGGAACAGGTTACCTGTGAGGAGCTCAGGTCGATGATGGACAGCGTGTCCAGAGGAGAGCGCTCTGGAAGATCAAAAGACACCTCAACATTTTCCTGGAAAACATTATTTAAAAGCTGCTTTAGTCACAGTCTGGCATCGGGAAGCCAAGAGGAGACAGGTCTGCATGGAGGGGGAGGAAGGTGGCAAGGATGCTGCTCCCACTCAGCTCTGTGGGGTTCCATTCCTCAACCAAGGCCTGCAGTGGGTGTCCCCACTGCAGGGTCTCCCACCACTCACACCCCATCCCGGCACCCCTACATGTGCCCTGGGGCACGGGGAGCCCCTGGGATGGGCAGGGTGAGCCCTTGCTCCTGTGTGAAGCAGGGATGCTCAGCAAGAGCCAGAGCTTCAGTGTCTCTGCATGATAACAGTGAGGTTCAGGTCTGCAGCCTCAGCATGCGAGTGGAGAAAGCAGCAGCGGGGCTGCAGTTTCTGCCTACCAGGACACATGCCAGCATCACCCCATGTGTGAGCCAGCTCGGGGAGGAAATGGGTCACTGGGGCTCGGGCTCACAGCAGCAGTCCCATGGCTCAAAGGGAATGTGCTTGCACCAGGGCAGGCAGCATCAAAGCGGAGCCTGCTGAGCCCCCTGCCATTTCAAGCTCAACCAGTACCTGTATATCCACCACTAGCGAAGAGCACACAGATACTCACTTGGTGCAAGTGTTGTGTGAATATTAAGCCATGGGAATTCAACTCTTTTCCCAGGGCTAGAGGTATTAGAGTGACTCCTGCAAGCTTAATAAGCTCATCTCTCCTGGTAGGTTTTTCAGCAGCTTATTTCTGCAATAATTTATCATCTTCCTTCCTATCCTCTATTATTCATCACCCGAGGGAAAACTCAGCTGCACCAGAAGGGCACAAAGTGCCTGAGCTGGAGGAAGCATTTCCAGAGAGGTGCCAAGAGAGCCTGGCACCTCGGGAATGTCAGGAATACCCCAAGGATCCATGACTGGGGCAGTGAGGAGAGGAGAGACCCGGCTCAAGGCACCTGCTCCAAGCAGACCCCCCATTTCTACACCGCCTCACTAAAGGCACTGAGTTATTTGGCCACGCCGTGGCAGGGCACGGGGACCCGCTGGGTCAGAGCCCCGTCCCGTGGCGGGGGGAAGCAGCCCCAGCCCCTGCTCCTCACCTCTCTGTACCTCTCCATCTCCGAAACGAAGGTTTTCTCATAGAAGAGGGCCTGCAGCCGCTCGTGCACGTAGTTGTGGCAGAGCTCCTCGAAGGTCGCCGCGCGCTCGCGGCGCTGATGCCGCGGGTTCTGGAAGCCAGGGGTGTCCACCACGGCGATGGAGGCCATGGAGAGGTGTGGGGAGGAGAAGGACCTGCGGAAAGAGGCACTCGCATCATAGGTTTTATCCACGGCCATGCCCCAGCTCTCCCTGTGGAGGTGACGCTGCCTCCTCCTCCTCATGTGCAGCATCCCTGGGTGGGCACCGTCCCATGTAGCAGTGACCAGCACTTCCCATCTCCCCTTCTTCCCATGTCTCCTGCCAGACAGCACCCACACTGTCCCTTTGCTTCTCCCTTCTCCCTCATCTTTCATCTATTCAAGCCAAGCATCTCCTCCCAGCCTGGACGGAAGCACAAGGCACGGACTTCTCCTGACCTGGCCTAATGAACCCTTAACAGTGGCATGGGATGAGAGGGCAGCAGGGGAGTCCGACCCTGGGAAACCTCCAGGAGTGTTTTAATGCACATTCTGAATCACCATCACATCGTGCTGCTCCATCCCCAGCAGCCCTGCAGCAGGGCGAGATTAAAGGATTTCTCCTCGGTGGCACTGGGCAGCGAGGATGCTTCCATGAAACACAGGGTGGAATGAAGAAACAGATGTATATTTATGAAGTGCTGCCTGCAGATTTCCATTGCAGCATCCTCCTGCAGCTGGGGTTGAAACATTCAGGCTCACCATCACCGTCATCTCACCGAGGAACAGGGTTTTCATGGAACGTGCCTGGATTGTTGTTGCAGTGGTTTAACAGGCTTTGGTGGGCTGAGATGGAAAATAAAGCTGGGCAAAGCAAAGCTACCTTTAAAGAGAAGAAGGGACCCAGGGCACATCCTGAGCTAATGCTGTTATTTAGGAGAACCAGCAGCATTTTGCTTCTCTGTCAGCCCTTTGAGTCCCATCAGCAATTTCCCTTTGGAGTGTGGTTGCTAGGAATTACAATAAAAATATTCTGCAGGTTAAATAACTGCAGGTTAAAACACACAGCAACAACACGGAGTATTTTGGGTACCAGCCTTTATGTGGATGCTGACTTCAACAAACTGAGCTGCACATCAGAACTGAGAAAATGGATCAGTTTGGAGGGCTGATCCTCGCCCGGGTGTTACCTTATTCCATTTATCCCAGTAGCCAACTTTGGATTTGCAGCACCTGAGCACATATATCAGCCCCCAGAAGATGAACTTCCCATCCTGGCTCTCCAGATGGAAATAAGCCCCTGGGGCAGAGGAAGGTGCTGTCTGCTTGGCCACACCAGCACTAGGATGCAGCTGCAGCTCCCAGGGCACCTCGGCAGCTACTTGGGTACCAGAGCCTCGCCCTGACACCTCAGTCATCCCCTGTGATGGAGCGACTCCCAGGACACACCTGCAAGGCTCTCTGTGGGGTTCCTGGACTGGTTTGCTGCTCTGCCTGTACTGGTAACCTTGATTTCAGTCTGCAAAGTCACATCTATTATTAATAGGAAGCCGGGCTGCTCCTCTCAGCACTGTGTTGTCCTACTCGGTGTGTCTGCCCGTGGCACAGCTTAGAAGCTGCAGCAGGAGAGGGGCCAGGTCTCTGTGCCAGGCTGCCCATGCTGGGGACCACCAGGACACGTGCTGCCCTGTGCAACACCCGGCTGCAGACACTGATGCTCCGAAGGGCCCTTTTGTGCCCGGTGCTGGCTCTCAGCCCTCAGAAGGTCCGAGCACAGCGCATGTCCCGTATGGACATCTCCAGATCACTTCCTTCCTGAGCAGGCAGCAGTTGCCAGCTCCGTGCCTCTCCCTGGAGACCCCCAGCGAAGGCTCTGACAAAGGAGCCATCACTCGCAGCACCCGGCAGCTCAGTACCTGTTGATCAGCGAGATGATTGCACCAAAGAGCTCCTCATAGAGACCCGAAGCCATCCCCTCCACACACTCCACGCCCGTCATCTTCGGCCCTGGCACAGGCAGAGGGGAGAGGAGACAAAGACACATCATCTGTTGGCAGCACACAGAGCCCGCCCGGTAGCAGCCCCAAGCACAGCATCACTCCCTCACACAGTCACTGCACGTCACCTATCTGCTTCCAGCTCCCCCCATGCCTCCTGCCTAACATGCACAGAGGAGAGAAATCTATTGCCATGTTAAAGGCCAGTTCTTGCTTTCATCAGAATAACTGGCAGGCGGCTGGCTGTAATTCTGCTGCTGAGGATGAGTTGGGTGTGGAAAGGTTCCCCTTAAAGCTGGGCATATCCCACATGCTGGATCTGCCTCGGAATTAGATTCATGTATTAACTCGAGGTTTAGAGCAGCTCAGGAGCAGTTTGTCCAGCTGGGGATGGTTCAGGAGATGGGTGCCCACAGCACAACACCAGCACAGCTTCATTTGTGGGCAGGAGGGGAAATGAGCCCAGCCTGCTGCCCTCCTGGTTTGGGGTTTTCCCTCCCTTTCCCAGGAGGACCCAGCCGCATTACTTACGTGCCAGGGGGCACTATCGGAGCTCCCCTGGTTTTCACAGTTAACAAAACACGAACGCACTGAGATGGACCCCGCTGCCTGCAGAGCGAGGGGCGCTTCCCCTCCCGCAGCCACCCTCCTCCTGCGCAGGGAGCGCCGCCGGTCCCCATCACCCGCAAGCGCCGGACAGCGGCTGCAGCGCCGGTACCTGCCGGGCTCTCCTGCGCCGGGGCCGGGCGGCGGCCCCGCGCCGTGACCTGCTCCAGGATGTGCTTGAGGTGGTGCTTGAAGGTGGCCGTGCTCAGCTCCTCCAGGTCGCAGCCCAGCGCCGCCGCCGCGCTGCTCGCGCACTCGAACTTCATGAACTGCTTCCTGCCCGCTGCGGGGGAACGGGGCAGGATGGGCTCAGCAGGGCCGGCTGCAGGCACCCCCCTGCTCCCGTGGGCAACCCCCAGATCAGGCCACAAGGGTGGGTGGAGGTGCGGGACCAGCGCGCCCCAGCTTCCCTCTGGCCCCCGAGGATGCTGGATCAGCCCTTTCCTCACATCCTCTCATGCGGGGGTGCTGAGGCGCTGGCACAGGGAAGCTGTGGCTGCCCCATCCCTGGCAGTGCTCAAGGCCAGGTTGGACACAGGGGCTTGGAGCAAGCTGCTCCAGTGGAAGGGGTCCCTGCCCGGGGCAGGGGTTGGAGCTGGAGGAGCTTTAAGGTCCCTTCCAACCCAAACCAGGCTGGGGTTCTGTGATCCCTAACGGGGCGTTCCAAACCAGGCATTGACCTTACCAGTGCTCAGAGCAAGGACCCCGCAGCACTTGGATGCTTGACTGAGACCAGGGTCCAAACCAGCTACAAATCAACCCTTCCAGTTTGAAGGCGTGGTTGGGAGGAATCTCTTCACTCCCCAGCTGCATCACATCACACTGAACCCAAAAGCTTTTCCCTCCCTAAAGCCCATCTACCTGCTCCTGCTGCCCTTTTTCCTTTGGGACAATTCCAGTAGCTCTCAGCACTCAGTCCCAGTGGCCTGCCCGGCTCCGCTCCCATGTGCTGTACACGGGGCTGCCCTCCCTACAAGCACACTTATGCTAGCAACAGTTGTAAGGCTTTTCTCAGCTTCACAGGGTAATTACCATATTAAAGGCTGGCTGACTCCACAAAGGCTGACAGCTTTGTCCCTCGGGCAATCCTTTAGCACAAGAAGACCCTTTTTTTTTGGTCAGAATGGGGTTCAAGACTTTAAATATCTCCAATAGATGCTTTTGAGCTTATTTTGCCCACTGTAGTGCTCCCCAGGTGCTCAGAGCATCCCTCCTGCCCAGTGAGACAGGGCAGAGAAGAGGCAGCTCCAAGGAGATGCTTTGAGGCAACTCAGAGCAAGTCTGGACCCATGTGGGCACAACACGCCCAGGCTGCTGCTGCCAGCAAGGCATCAGCAACGTTGTGCTTTCCAAGAGCACCAATGAAGCAAACCAGCAGATGTGTTGATGGAAGCTGACGGGATTAGGAACCGATCCCTCAGACTCCTGGATCAGCTTCCCCACCTCTGGTGATGTTTGCTGTGCCCGAGAGCAGCCTCACAAACGGAGCCTGCACGCGATATTTACATGCAGCAGCAGCAGCAGCGATTCCAGCTTCATGATTAAAGTCAACAGGGAAACAATCTGCAGGATAAATCCCTTCACAAATCCAGCAAGGAAAGCGCTGCGGAGGCAGCTGCCCAGCGCCCCGCGGGATGAGCAGAGGAGGAGCAGGCAAGCCCCCAGGGCTTGTGGGTGGTGGTGGATGAGCATCCAGCCAGGGGGTCACATACAGGATGATCCCTTAGAACACAGCTGGTGGCTGGTGGCAGGGCTTTGGGATGGAGAGCAAGGAATGGCCACATCCTGGCCAGCCCCATGGGGGACCAGGGTCCCCTGCTTCAGGCTGAGGTGATGCACAAAGCAGCTAAAGCACACGGCAGGGCCTGGGGGGTTCACAGCACACCTGAGAGAGTCATCCCCCCCTTCCCCTTTGATCTTTCCCCATTATTTCTTATTCTGACTGAAGGCCTCCAACATCAAGGACTGTGCTGGAGCAGGCACAGGAACCGCCTCAACAATCCAGGCTTTGATTTACTTCGATTTCACTTGTTTTCCTCTGAGCTGGATGGACACAGGCTCCTTCCTGACAGACAGGAGATGTCCTGGGAAGCAGAGGGGCTGCAGGGCCAGGGCTGCCCCAGACCTGCCCCACTGCCCGGCTCCCATAGTAGCATCCTGTGCTGCACGCTCCAGCATCCCACACTGGCTACTCCAGCATCGCACTGGCCAATGCAGCATCCCATGCCAGCCACTCCAGCATCCTATGCTGGCCACTCTGGCACCCCCGAGACAACTGAGGGGCTCCATTCACCCCAGCCCCAGTGCAAACTCTTCCCAATGGAGCAGTTGCAAGTGGAGAAGCCATTCACCCCACCAGGCTGCTCCATCACGGAACACATCCTGCTGCTCCGGGCAGAGGGATGCAGCTCCCTGCTTCACACCTCCACAAACCAAAGCACTGCCTGAGCAGCACATGTCCCAGTCCCCACTGGGAGCCCTTTGGTGCTCCCCAAATTGCCCCCTCGCTGTAAGTAGCTGGTGAGAGCTGAGTCAACAGGCACGCTTGCTCAGCCTGCCCATTCACTTCCACTGATTTTATCATTAAAACATTTGCCCTGCTAATGGGACAAATACAAGAGCCCATTTGTTCCTCTTTATTACCCTGGGAGGGGACGGGGAGACAGAGGAGGCTCCTCCTGGCTTGAATGGTTAATCCATTTGTCCTGCACTAAATTCTCCAGTCTATTCTCTGCTGACCCATTGCCTGATGTATGACATATTAAAGCCTATATATAACAAAGGGAAGAGCTGTGTAATAGCACGATTAAAGAAATCTGCCATTCTGGCTGCATTTCCCCGGCTGCTTGCAATAAAGATGTCAGAGCACTGAACAGATAGCACCGCACGCAGGAGACAGCCCGCCTGGACCAGGGCTGTGCTGTGACCACACCAAGGAGATGCACCATTAACGGGATCTCCACGTGCTTCCCAGACCCCCCAGCAGCCAGCCAGGCTCCAGCCAGGACTTGGCTATTCCCAGTGTGTTCTGCTCCTGCTTCCCTGGCTCTGAACCCTGGACCACGGCCAGGACACAAGGGAAAAGCAGCTCCCATGCTGAGCAGAGATGCGCTGGGGCGCAGACCCCCCCACCATACCACAGGCCTGGATCTCTTCCCTGCTCCCTGCAAAGCACAGTTCCCAGAAAACCTCCTCATTTTGCAGACCTGGGTAGCAGAACACAGAGCTCTGCCCAGTTCATGCTCCAAACTGGGATCCTCTGCCCCGGGACACACATCACCCTGCCTAAATCCTCCGGCCTGGGGAAAAGAAATCCTAAGGACATCCCACAGTGTACAGGGCTTAGACTCATAGAATCAGCTAGGAGGGAAAAGACCTTTAAGATCATCAGGTCCAGCCATTAGCAACCAGGGCTGTGGCTGGCTGGTCACTGCGCTGTGAGCCAGGCCCTGGAGGCTGCATCACCTTGGGCTGGGTTTTTCCCAGGAAGCCATCAGGCTCCATCAGGACAAAACTGTTGCTCCTGAGCTCAAGGACAAAGAGCCACGATCCTGCCAAGACCGCAACAGCAGCTGCGCTTCCCTCTACAGCAGGAAAAGCCACGTGCAGAAAAGCAAAAGGCTTTAACGGGGAGAGAAAAATGAGCAAGATCGAGAGGGCAGCCCCGGTGCAATCCTTTCCAAGAGGCGCTCGGATGAAGGATGCAGGGAAGCAGAGGAGCCCTTCCCGCAGGAGCGAGGTGGCCTTTCACTCACCCGCAGCACCGAGCTGGGGCACAGCAGGGATTTAACCACAGCCAAGGCCACGGCCGGGTGCCAGCGCCGGGACAGGCGCTCTGTGAGGGAAGGCAGAGGGGCAGAGGCTCCCCATTGGCATCCTGCTCCCTCCGCTCACAGACCCATGGAATGGTTTGGGATCCTTTGAGGACAAAGTGTCGTTTCCATATCAGTTAAGGAAAGGTCATTACAGCTCAGAGGCTGCCAAGCAGCAGAAATAATGCAGGTCCAAGGCTTTTTTCTCAGCTCTGGTGAGAAAGCGATAAGTCACCGAGTCCACTCCTGATAGACATCGATGCTCAGGAAGCTGCATAATTCATGCCCGTTGGATCCTGCTGTCGCTCTCACGTCGTGATGGACATTCCCATTCCAACACCTGGCTAAACGGCTTCCAGCCTTCTGGAAAGCTCCCATTCCCCGAGCTCACAGGGTGTTCAAGGGGGGGTGAGACAGCAGGGCGCTGTGCACCAGCACACAGGACCCAGGCTCAGCCCCTCCTGCTCATCCGCCCTCATGGTTTCCCTGTAGCAAGGGGCTCAGGATGCTGGGTTTGGGGCTGTCGGCGCGTGGTGGGGTTTGGGGTAACCACACCTGGCACACACCGGCCGCAGCACTGGGAGGGCTCTAATGACTTGCCAGCACTGGAAACCCAAAGCCCTCTCTGAAAGGCACACGGTGGGAAGCCCGCAGGGAGCTGTGATGCTCTATTGTTACAACAGTCAGCAGAACGGACAGCTTGAGAGCGAGCTGAATGCTGCCCCCCCACTGCACCCAGACCCTCCCTCCTGGTTAAAGAGGCAAAGAATGACTGAAATATGCCATGTTCTGCAGCCACAAAGGGCTGGGAGCACTCAGGTGGATGGGGACCGGGATGCCCCGCTGGCCCCTGGCTGCATCCACACAAAAACGCGGCTCAAACACAACTCAAAGGCACCGGCAGTCACTGACAGCGGGATGGAGCCGGCCTTTGAAACACAACCTTTTCTTCTCCGTGTTTTGCTGCCCGCAGATGTGTTTTCCACCTCAGGCAGAGGGAGGTGATGCTGCTCCCCTCCTGCACAAACCCAATCTGCAATGAGGGGGCAGCCATGAGCATCAGCTGCGGTGTGGCCGCGGCGCCCGGCTGCGCTGCTCAATGCCAGTGAAGCCCCAGCGACGAGGCTCCCTTGGGTGAGATTTCAAGGAGAGGATTTGGAACATACAGCTTCAAAGCGCATGAGAGGGGAAGGGAAGAGATGGCTATCAGGAGAGAGGTTTAACCACATTAAAAGAGTCATCGCCCCCACTGAGACTTTTGCTCTATGCAGCTTTGATCCATTTTTTATCCGTATTTCCTTTCATTTCTCCCCTTTTGTTGAAACACGATGGGGGAATCAATACCAGAGCGAGTGATGCTGCGACATGCTCTGGTTGTTAATCCCGTACCCGAGCGCTTGAAAGCCACAGCCCTGCCTGGGCCCGCTATTAACATCCACGTTTGTGCTGGAGCAATTGCAACAGGGTTTGTTGAACGCAGCCCCCGGGTCGCCCCCCGGCTGAGCGATGGGATGATGGGGATGGAACATTCGGGACGGCAATGCAAAGCAGCTCAGCAAACCCTCTGCAGCCAACAGTGACCGTACCCCTCTGCCTTGGGGCTGACCCACACGTCCCAAAACCTGCTCTCCCGGAAACCCTTTGATCCCTTTGCCAAGAGCCTCATCCCGCACTGCAGCCTGAGACAGCAGGGTCATACTGTGCAGGCTGGAAGGGAGTTAGGGGAGATGGAGATGGAGAAAGAGAACACCAGAGGAGGAGAAAGAGAACTCACGTTAAGTGACAACAGCGTTCATCCTTTCAAAATAATTAATATATGATTAATGGCATAAATTACCATAAGATGTGTTATGACATATTGCAGAGACATTTATAAATGTCTACGGTTTAGTTTATAGCAGCCTTTATGCAGCCTTCATAAATTGAAGTGTGTAAATCAATGTGGCTGCCTCTACAATGGGTTTGAGCACATCTTAAAATAATTTATAAAGGATAAGGCAGTTTCTATACAACCTGTATTAACAAAGTCTTTATAAATACAATCTTCATCCAGACTCATCCTATTATAATTCAGTTACTGCATTAGGCACCCAGGAGATGATAGAATTTTTGCTACCTGAAGCTGTCCCTTCGTAGTGTCACTGGGGACAACGTGCAAACAAATGAGTTCATCAATTCACAGACTGGTTTGGGTGGAAGGGACGTTAAAGGTCATCCAACCCCTGCCATGGGCAGGACACCAGCACTGAGCATCACCCAGCTCCTCCATGGGCAGCAAAGAGCTCACAGCCCCCATGACCCTGCAGCAGCCTCCGTTGAGCATCGCTCCCGCACGCCTCACCATGCACCCCAGCACTGAACATCCGGGGGACCTGCTCCCTCCTCAAGCCCCAGCACTTAGACAAGGTACAAGGGAAGGAGCCCGCTCACCTCTGCAGGCGCCGGCGGCTCCCAGGTGGTAGATGCCGGCTAAGACGCGCCACACGGCCGCCTGCTCCTCCGCGGTGATGCCCAATGTGCCCATGGCCGCCCGGAGCTGGGCGAATGCTGCTGAGGCTTTCTGCTTCTCCTCGGGCTGCAGGGGGGAGAGATGGGGCGAGGGGGATGTCACTGCCTCTGCCAGAGCATCGCAGGAGCAGGGGATACAGGGGGAACGCAATGGGGCCGGAGGAAACTGTGTGGCGAGCAGGACAGCGAGGCTTCAGTGGAGCAGCAGAGGCAGGGGCAGTGCTCAGCTTGGCCCCGTTGCAGACCATGCACTCCCTGCACTGAAGAGATGCTGCCCAGGGCCGGTGCTGCCCGGCTCCTGCTGACCCTCTGCATCCCAGCAGGAAACCCTCCATGCTGCGATGGGGAACCCACAGGACCGGGGTACCGTGGTACCTCCCTGTGCTCTGCACAGAACTGCTGCTCCAACAGCCAACCGCTTTGGAGCTCCCTGGTGAAGATTGAACATTGAATCCATCACCAAATGATGTAACTGCAAATTGCTGCCGTGCATCGTGGGGCTTTGGCACGATCGGCCTGATCTCTGCAAACAGCTCAGAATAGCGAGGGGATGGGAATCAGTGTTGGCTCTTTTAGCCCCCCTAAAAATCACATCCCGGACTCTCCAAAGGGTGCGCTCCCCCACCCAGGAGCTGCCACTGCAGGGAAACATCAGGGGCTCTTGGTCCTGGATCACAGGATCTATCCCTGGGGTGGATGGAGGGGTCCAAGCCCAAGTGCAGACCCCACGCAGTGGTAGCCCCAGTCCCAGCAGCTCCCATGGGGCAGATGCATTCTCACACCCCAACGTTCTCTCCCTCCATGTGCCTGGTGCAGAGGCACCATCCGGAGGCACCCATCAGCCGAGGACCCAGCACATCCTCTACCCGGGGGGGGGGGGACGAAGAGCACACACTTGCAGCATCCCGCTGCAGGCAGTGTGCGGCTCCAGGGCTTCCCCTCACCTTTGTGAACGGCTTGATCCCAAAGGAATTGTTCTCAGACACCTGGTGCAAGTGCAGCGTTGTCCTGGAAGCAGTTACAGGAGACAAGAGTCAAGCTCCCTCCTTGTCTGCCCCAGCACTCCCCAGACCCCTGCCTGCTCCTTTACTGCAGCATCCCAGGAGCCTTGATGGGAATGCTGCCATGGCTCTGCCTACACAGGGGTTGGAGCCAGGACCCTTTTTTGCCCAGGGTAGCCTGAGGACATGCAGCTTTGGGGGAAAACCAGGAACAAGCAGGGAAAGGGACCTCTATTTGATCAGTCCAATTTTGGTTCAGGTGAAAGGGCATAAAAAGCAGTAGAAAACACCCGTTTCCCAGAAAATCTCTAATATACGTGTGTAAAATCCCTGCAGCATCGCTAACGGGATCGCTCTCACATGCTCTTTATCGGGGGTCTCAAAAACCACGCTGCTGGAGCCAACTTGGTTATAGACCATGGGGAGCCCCTCGGCAGTGGGGAACCCATCCGCTGAGCACCCAGGCACGGAGTGGAGCCCCCCGGGACCCTCGCACCCACCTCTGCGCCGCATCCAGCCCCGCCAGCATCAGGGGGAAGACGTTGAAGCTGCTCTCTCCGGGGGGCTGCTGAGCCACACGGCCCCGCTCCAGCAGCATGGTCTGGGGAGGGAGCGGAGGCAGGGCTCAGGGACAGCCCCAGGGCAGGCAGGAGGAGGGGGGACAGCGGCACCCAGGGACATGGAGATGCTGCCTGGAGCTGGCAAGGAAGGGCTGGTTTTCCCCTTGCAGGGCCGTGACTGGCTTTGAATGCTGTGCACTGCAGGGTGTGCAAGCAAGAGCTGGACCGTGCCCCAGGCGTGCATCAAGGGCCAACGTTTCAGCGCATGGATGCAACACCCACAGTCTCTCCCCACCTCTGGAGGTCTGGGCAGTGTGATGGACTTAGCAAAGATGCTGCAGTCTCCAGCTAAGCCATTGCCTGAGCTTGAGGGGAGGCTGGATCAGCCTCCAGCCTTGTCAAGGTTGTTCCACGCCAGCACTGACACCAGGAACAAGTCCTTGCAGAGCTGGACTTCCCTCTATGACTGTCCCTTCCTCTCACCAGCACCTCAGGGTGGTACTAGTGCTCCAAAGAGCAAATGCAGAGATGCAGCAGTGGGAAGACCCAGCGTTCCCCACACGGGAAGCCCTGGTGCTCCCCACAGCAGACACCAGCTCAAACCCCTTCCTCCATCAGCCGAGGCCCCAGCAGCAATGATTCAAGTGTCTCTGCATCACAGCCAGCCCTGATGGTGATGAAAGCCCTCGGAGGCTCCAGCTGGAGGCTGATGTGGAAGGTGCTGCTACTGAAACGCTGAATTATGCATCTCCTCAGCAACGTTTCGTTCCAGCCCTGTTCTGCTCTCCCTGCCTGGGGACGGGTGATGTGCTGTGAGCACCCCCCCACTGCTGACAGGGCTCCTGCTCAGCTGCAGTTTGGGGCAGCTCTGGTCCAGGAGGAGCAGCAGAGACGAGCATCACTGCCTGCCCCATCCCAGGGACGCGGGGTTCAGCCACAGCCCTCCCATCTCAGCAGGCAGCAAGGTCCATGGGGTACCTGGAGGTGAGCAGCCGTGATCTGGCCGGTGGCACTGAAATCCAGCGACAGGACCATGGAGAAGCGCGTGGAGCTGCTGCTGTGGCCCGTGGTCACCGACCCAAAGGCTCCCAGCACTGTGAACATCGCCTGGATCTTCTCCACTGCAAAACCAGCACCGGCAGCCCCGTGAGCCATCCCGATGCCTGCAGCGCTGCGCTGCTGTGGTGCTCACCAGGAGACAGCCAGACCATGCTGCTGCTCAGGCTGCAAAGAGGCACTGATGGAGGCTTCTCCCCCTGCCTGCATAGGACCAGCCAAGCATGGGGTCAGCATCCTGCACCATGGGAGCACGGGAACATGGTGGGATGGGGATGCGCCAGCCTGCCCAACGCAGCACACTGCTCCAGGCCTTTCGCCACCCCTTGCTGCAAGAGCACGGTGTACCCCGTCCTCTGAAACCCGAGCCTGCCTTCTAACGCTACTGACTGCTCAACAGTGCTTCCCCTCGCGTCACCGGGAACTTGATCGGGTGGGAAAAGTGCTGCCCCAAGCACGCCCCCAGTTCCCTCCTGGTGCCTGCCCTGCTCTTTACCAAGGTAGTAAACGTGTTGGGTCTGGGATGCAGCAGCACCCGCAGCCCTGCCAGCCCAGGCTGCACTCGCACCGGCTGCTCGGGAGCCACCCCAAGGGCATGAATCACACCAGGAGCGGGTCAGACAGAGGCCAGCAGATGGAAACGGCATCCCCCCGGTGCCTGCGGTGCTCCACAGCCTGCAGCCTCTGCCCTGCATCCCGCAGCTTGTGCCCAGCATCCCGCAGCCTGTGCCCTGCATCCCGCCGTCTGTGCCCTGCATCCCGCAGCCTGTGGCCAGCATCCCGCAGCCTGTGCCCTGCAGCCTGCAGCCTGTGCCCTGCAGCCTCTGCCCTGCATCCCGCAGCCTCTGCCCTGCATCCCGCAGCTTGTGCCCAGCATCCCGCAGCCTGTGCCCTGCATCCCGCCGTCTGTGCCCTGCATCCCGCAGCCTGTGGCCAGCATCCCGCAGCCTGTGCCCTGCAGCCTGCAGCCTGTGCCCTGCAGCCTCTGCCCTGCATCCCGCAGCCTGTGCCCTGCATCCCGCAGCCTGTGCGCAGCATCCCGCAGCCTGTGCCCTGCATCCCGCAGCCTGTGCGCAGCATCCCTCAGCCTGTGCCCTGCATCCCGCAGCCTCTGCCCAGCATCCCGCAGCCTCTGCCCAGCATCCCGCAGCCTCTGCCCTGCATCCCGCAGCCTCTGCCCTGCATCCCGCAGCCTCTGCCCTGCATCCCGCAGCCTGCGCACAGCATCCCAAAGTGGGACGTGGAGCTCGTACCTGAGACTCTGCCGTCCACGCTGCCCGCGGAGCCCACCAGGAACTCCAGAGCTTTCCGGCAGCACGAGGTCCTGCCAGCGCCGCTGCGCCCCAGGGGCACGATGGCCTGGTCCTGCCGCTGCAGCAGCAGGTTCCTGTAGGCTCTCTGTGCCACCGAGCAGATGTGGGGGGGCATGTCCCGCTTCCCCTTGAGTGCCTGCGGGAGGGGGACAGCACAGCCCAAAGCAGGCTTCTCACACAGGAAATCCTGACAGCATCCACACTCAGGGGGATGGTTTCTCCCCAGGGTGCAAAACCCCACGAGATTCCCAGAGGAAAGGGAAATGCTTCCCAGCCTGGCCAGCTTGGCCTTGCCACACTAGTACCAGAGACATGGTTGGGAGCTGACCCAGGGAACCTGCAGCAAAACCCACTCCATCTTGCCCCTGAGCAACGGTTCTGAGCATCCCTGATCCCGAGTGTCTTCAGAGCATCCCCAGGCCCAAGTATCCCCAGAGCACTCTCCCACCCTGGGCATCCCTTGTCCCGAGTGTCTTCAGAGCTTCTCTGGCCTGGAGCATCTCTGGTCTCAAGCGTCCTCAGAGCATCCTCCAGCCCAAGCATCGCCTGTTTCAAATGTCCTCAACGCATCCCCTCTCTGAGCATCCCCAGTCCCCAGTGTCCTCAGCACATCCCCTCTCTGAGCATCCCCAATCCCCAGTATTCTCAACGCATTTTCCTCTGAGCATCCCCAATGTCTTCAGCTCATCCCCTCTCTAAGCATCCCCTCTCTGAGCATCCCCAATCCTGAGTATTCTCAACACATTTCCCTCTGAGCATCCCCAGTGTCCTCAGCTCATCCCCTCTCTGAGCATCCCCAGTCCCCAGTGTCCTCAGCGCATCCCCTCTCTGAGCATCCCCTCTCTGAGCATCCCCAATTCCCAGTATTCTCAAGCATTTCCCTCTGAGCATCCCCAGTGTCCACAGAGCATCCCCTCTCTGAGCATCCCCAATCCCCAGTATTCTCAACGCATTTCCCTCTGAGCATCCCCAGTGTCTTCAGTGCATCCCCTCTCTGAGCATCCCCAGTCCCGTGTTCTCAACACATTTCTCTCTGAGCATCCCCAGTGTCCTCAGCGCATCCCCTCTCTGAGCATCCCCTCTCTGAGCATCCCCAGTGTCCTCAGTGCATCCCCTCTCAGCGCATCCCCTCTCTGAGCATCCCCAGTCCCCAGTGTCCTCAGCTCATCCCCTCTCTGAGCATCCCCTCCCTGAGCATCCCCAGTCCCCAGTGTCCTCAGCTCATCCCCTCTCTGAGCATCCCCAATGTCCTCAAGCGCATCCCTTCTCTGAGCATCCCCTCTCTGAGCATCCCCAGTCCCCAGTGTCCTCAAGCGCATCCCCTCTCTGAGCATCCCCAGTGTCCTCAGCGCATCCCCTCTCAGCGCATCCCCTCTCTGAGCATCCCCTCTCTGAGCATCCCCAATGTCCTCAGCGCATCCCCTCTCTGAGCATCCCCAATGTCCTCAGTGCATCCCCTCTCAGCGCGTCCCCTCTCAGCGCATCCCCTCTCAGCGCATCCCCTCTCAGCGCATCCCCTCTCTGAGCATCCCTTACCCCGAGCATCCTCAGCGCACCCCCGCCCCGCGCATCCCCGGCCCCGGCAGCGGCGGTCGCACGGTGCCCCCTGCCGGCCCCGCCGCTCCCGGCGCCCCCCGCCTCTGCCCCTCGGGGTGCGGTGGCCGCGCTCACCCTGCCCGCGGTGCCGGTGCCGCTGTCCCGGATGGACACGAGGCTGGGCCCGGCGAACGTGCAGGGCAGGCGGGCGCGGTAGCGCTGCTGCAGCGTGTTCATGGCGCTGCAGGCGTTGAGGCTGAGGAGCGCCGCCAGGTCCTCGGCCAGGTCCAGGCTGGGGGGGTTGCTCTGCAGGAAGAGAGATGGAGCCCCCCCACCTCGAGCAACGCCACCGGGCCTCGGGCAGCGCCGGGCCCCTCGGGCAGTGCCAGCCGGGGCCGTGCCCGAGCCCTGGGGCCGATCCCTCACCCTCTGCACGCTGTCCTCGTCCACCTCGGTGACGCTGCCGTCCGCCTCCCGGCGCACCCGCACCCTCCCCGCCGGCAGCTCCGGTGTCCCCACGTCCGGCTTCAGCTGCGTGGCTGCAAGGAGAGGCCCGTGAGCCCCCCGGCGCGGTACAATGAAGGGGGATGCATCGTGGGGGGCTGCAGAGGGGCCATCTCCAACGCCCGGGGCCCATCCTGCTCCTGGTCACAGCCGGGCTGGGGACACCGCTTAGGTTCGGTGCTGAAAAGCGAGGGCAGAGGAAGGCAGTTACCGAGCGTGAATCCATCCTCCTGGACGAGCCAGACCTTCCCCGCTTCGTACCAGACATCCCCGGGAGCCTGCAGGGAGGAGAGAAGGGAATCCTGCAGGACCCAGTGGAAACTGCGCTGGACAAACTGCATCTGCCCCCTGACAGCAGCAGGAGCCCTGCTGCCTGCCTGGCCCAGCAGGCCCTTGGTACCTTACCTGGTCCCTGTCCGTGCTCTCGCCTGTCTCTTTGCTCTCTCCTGGCGCCTCTTTCCCCTCTCCCAGCTCTTCCTTCACCTTCCCCACCTCTTCGGACTTGTCCTGGGCCCCTCCTGGCTCCTCCTTGGGCCCCTCTGACTTGTTTGCAGTTTTTCCAGGCTTTTTGATTTCCCTTGGCTCCTTCCTCCCATCGCCAACATCTTTCTTCATCTTCTCCGGCTCTTTCCTGCCCGGTCCCAGCTCCCTCTGGGCTCCTGCCTTGGCTCGAGGCTCTGCGGGGCTCGGGGGGGCCCCCTTCTCCTTCCTGGTGCTCTCAGGGACCTTGCCCCTGTCCCCCACCTTTGCTGGGGCTTTGCTGGGGCACTGGGGGCCCTTGCAGGGTGCAGGGGCTGGAGGCTGGGGGCTGGCCCCTGGGCAGGGGTCCCTGGGGCTCTTCTCAGGGCACAGCGGCTTCACTGCCTTTAGAGCCTCAGGGCGAGGGGTCTCCACCAGCTTTGGGGCAGCCGATGTGGGGGTCAGAGCCTGGGGGCTGCCCCTTGGGCAGGGGTCTTTGGGGCTCTTCTTGAGGCACAGCAGCTGCGCTGCTTTGGGAGCCTCAGGGTGAGGGGGCTCTGCCCGTTTGGGGGCAGCCGGTGGGGGGGTCAGAGGCTGGGGGCTGCCGGGGTCCTTGGGGCTCCTCTTGGGGCACGATGGCTGCGCTATGGGAACCTCCGGCCGTGGGGTCTCTGCTGGCTTTGGGGCCGCTGCTGTGGGGCTGGGTGCTGGGGATGGGGCTTTGCTGGCGCTGGGCCCTGGCACAGCCCTCCCGGATGGCAGCTCCTTGGGTGAGGGGGGAATCACCCCCTTGCCCCCCTGCCCCGCTGCCTGCAGCCCGTTGGGCAGCGCCCGCCCGTCCTTGGTCCCCTCTGCTCCAGCTGCTGCGGTGACCCCGGCTCCGGCCCCGCCGTCCGCTGCCACGGGCTGCAAGGGAAGGAGGGGAGGGGGGTCCAGCGCGAAGGACCCAGCCCCACGAGGGATGCTCGCGCCAAGCACAGAGCCCCAGCCCTGACCTGCTCGCTCCAGGCGGAGCCGATGGCTGCAGGTGGCTGCATGGACCTGGCTGCACGGGTGCAGTCGGCACCATCCCCATCCTCCTCCCTCCCGCTTGGCCACTTCCCGGGTCACCGCTTGGTGCCGTGCCCAGGGACACCCCTTCCAGGTGAACCAGGGAGCCTCGTGCTCTGCTTAATCACTCACCTTCTAATTAAGCCAGTCAAGAGCCCCAGGTTGATTTACGCTTGAGGCCCTGCCATCCAACCCCAAAACCACCTCAGGCTTCGGCCCCGCAGCCCCCAGTCCCTGCTCTGGCTGGGCACAGACAGGGACACCCCTTGATGCCAGGGCTCCTCTCACCTCCTCTTTGCTGCTCGCCTTTTCCTTCCTCAGCTTGGCCGCCTTGGCCTCCTTCTCGGTCTCCCTCACGAGCTGCTTGATGAACCCCCCGGGGATGACGGACAGAAGCAGGGGGGGAGCAGCAGGGGGTGGCCCCCGGTCCTCGTCCCGGATCTGTTTGCAGGAGCAGAGGCTGGTTATGGGCACGGACAGGGATGGGAGCCCTGGCAAAGCCAAGCCCGTGGGCAGCAGCGCGGGCACAGAGCCGAGCACCAGCTCAAGGCAGGGCCAGCGCAGCGGCCGCAGGTGCAGGATGCAGGATGCTGGTGATGCCGTGAGCCAGCCGTGAGCACCGGGCTGTGGTGAGCAGCAGCAGAAGCACTCAGAAGCCCTGCAGGGAAGCGCCAGGTTTCCACACAGCAGCTCTGGCTGCGCTGCCAGCTCTGCCCAGCACCAGCAGCTCCAGCACGGCCATGGCAGGAACCATCTCGGCTGCAGTGAGTCCAGAAGCAGCTCCCAGCATCGCTGCGGCCACATGCGGATCCCTCCATGCCCGGTCCAAGCTGAACCCCGTTTCCTGCAGCCCCCACAGCAGAGGCTCCCCCAGCACCAAACCTGCAGAGCCCTGCCCCAAACCACAGCAGAAACACTCAAACCAGACCATTGAGGCTGCAAAGGTGCCCAGGGCCTGCAGGGCTGGACACAGCATGAGTGATGCACCCTGGAGCTGCAGGGACACCAACCCTGGAGCCATGCTGGGGGGGGTGCCTGCAGTGTGTCTCCCACCCAGCACCCTGCGAGCATCCAGCCCCAAACACCGCTGGTACCACCCCAGAACGGGACTTTCCTTCTGCTCCCAGAGCGCCAGACGTGAGGAGATGGCCATGTCGGCGAGCGATGGGGCTCTACGGGACCCACGGGCAGAGAGAGAGCAGAGTTAGCCAGGGGCTACCGCTGGCCAAGGGGCCACGCTCAGGGCTGTGCGCTGAAGGAACGGGGCTTTGGTGCGCCGGGGAGGGCACAGCCATCAGCAGCCACATCCAGCCCCTGCCATGGCCCAGGGAGGCGATGGCACAAGGTGCTGGTGGCATCGGGGCAGTGCTGGGGCCCCGCTGCCCTGCACTGGGTGGCTCTGGGCGGCTGCAGGAGCCAGCCCGTGCCCCGCTTTGGGCTGACCCCGGCTTCACCTGTCGAGATCATTCATGCCCCGAGCGGGTCGGGGCTCGCCCGGCCCAGCCGCTCGCTCCAGCGCCCGCATCGCCTTGTACAGTAAAGGGCAGGAGCGCCAGGAGCCGGCTCAGGAATGTCATCTGCTCCTGGGGCAGCGGCCCCCCGGGCCACAAGCCCTGGCTCCCAGCGGGGACAGGCGCTGCCCCGGCGCTGTGCCCCCGGCCAGGGCTCGGTGGTCCACGGGGTAGAACCGGCCCCAAACAGCGCGGCTGGAGCCCAACAACACCCGGGGCCGGATCCTCAGTCCTGCTCCACGCAGGGGGAAACTGAGGCACGGAGAGGGCACGTGCCTGGACCAAGCACCCGCTCGGCCCGAATGAGGGCTGGGGACCGGCACCGGCACCGGCACCACCCCGGCTCCCCCGCTCACGGATGCGGCCCCATGCGGGGCTGGTCCCCACGCGGGAGCCGGCTGGGGGCTTGCTCCTGCTGGCACCCAGGACCCGCTGCCATCGCGGTGGCGGCCAAAATCCGAGGTCCCGAACCACCCCCCCCGCACAGGGCAGGAGGCACCGTCCCCGTTCCCGTCCCCGCTCCCACCGCAGCCCTCCCCGGCACGGAACAGCCGCTGGAGCCGCCGCTGTCGCCGTCCGCTCCCACCTAAAAATAGCCGCGAACGCGGAGGGGCCGCGGCCCCGTGCCCGCGCACCCCCGCGGCCCCCGAGCACCCCGACCCGCACCCGAGCCCCCGAGCACCCAGTACCTGGCGGCGGCGGCGGCGGCACCGGGACCGAGCGAGCGGAGCGCGGCCGGACGGGACGGGAGCGGCGCCTCCCCCCGCGGCAGCTGGGCTGCCCCACGTGGCACGGCTAAAAATACCCCTGGACGGCGGAGGGGAACGCGGGGCCTCCCGCCCCTGAGCCCCCCGCGCACTCCCGGGGGTGCGCCCGGGTCCCCCCCATCGCGGGGCCGCAGCCGGCAGCAGCGGGGACCTGCTCGGGGCTGATGCGGCTGCCCCATCCCTGGCGGTGCTCAAGGATGGACACAGGGGCTCGGAGCAAGCTGCTCCAGGGGAAGGGGTCCCTGCCCGGGCAGGGGTTGGAGCTGGAGGAGCTTTAAGACCTCTTCCAACCCAAACCAACCGTGATTCTATGGTTCTAATAGAGTCAGGTTCTTCTCTTCCTCCCGTGCTGTGAGTGCCCTTGAGAACAGCGTGGCCCACGGGCAGGACGGGGCCAGGGCCACTGCAGGGCTCTGCCAGCAATGGCCTGGGGCTGGAGAAAGCTTTTCCTGGCAAGGCTTCTCCCCCTTCCCTTCCCTTCCCGAGCTGCTGGTCCCATGGGATGGGGCGGACCCCGGGATGGGGCTGGTGGCTGCACCGACCCTCCCGGAGTGGATTCCATTTTAAACATGAGTAATCCCATTAACTTCAGTTCTTTGCTGGAGCGGGTTGAGCCGTGGCAGGGGTTGGAACTGGATGAGCTTTAAGGTGCCTTCGACCCAAATCAATTTGTGGTTCTGTGACATGAGCCAGCCCTGGCTGCTCTGCTGCTGCAGGAGGGGACCCCGGGATGTCCCCTTGGAACACGGGTCAGGGCGCAGGCACTGGGCTCCGGGAGCACCCGGCCCCTCACATCCCGATAAGGGGAGGATGAGCTGGGGAGGGACCCGAGAGGAGGGCCCAAAATAGCCTCCAGTCAATGGAAAGAAGTCACCGCAGCGCTAAGAGCAGCGCCCTCAGCAGCACGGGAAGGGAGCAGGCAGGCACCCGGCGTCCCTGGCATCACCATTCCCAGCCTCACCTCCCCACTGAGCTCTGCCAGGGACAGGGCACATGGAAGTGCCACCAGATAACCCCACAGTGACCATGAGGATCCATGTGCCACCCGCCACCAGCACCCACCACCCGGCCTGGGGCTCAGGCCAAAGCCAACCTGCAAAGGCAAAACCCAGCATCCCCCTCCAGAGCTCCATGGATGTGCTCAGGCATCAGCACCCACAGCTGGGAAAGCTGTTAGGAAAGGAGGTAACTGCTGGTCTGCAGGTCCCCCACAGGAGGCTGAGGCCGTGCAGTTTCAGATCATCCATCCCACGGTCCCTGATGGCACCACAGCCATGCGGGAGCCCCTGCAGGGCTCATGGCTGGGCATGAGCTCTTGGAAAGCTGCTGTTCATCACCCAAAACACACCTCATGGGCCCAGCCAGGGCCGGGGTTTGTGCTGCTCCATCACACCAGGCCAGAGATCATCCCTCCTCACCACAGCAGGCACTGTCCCATCTGCAGCCACGAGCGGAGAAAGCACCAACAACCACAGTTCCTCTGGTGAGCAAAGGGCAGGTGGCGATGCAGGGATGCGGGGATCCATCCAGCCGGGCAGGGACCGGTGAGACCGAAAGAACCAGGCGGCAGCACACACGCAAAGGACGGTTTTTATTGGGGTTCTCGTGGTATGAGAGCAGTTGCACTGACCAACACACAGAAGCAGCTTAGCTGTGCCAAGAGAATCCTTCCAAAACAGAAGAACGGTGGGATGAACCAGGAGTTGCACATCACAAATCCGCGGGGACCTGGAGCTCACCCCTGGGAGGAGAACCCTGCGCGTGCAGCAGCGAACACGGGGCACCCCCTCCTCTGCACAATAAATATGAACAGAGCCAAGTACATAAAACAAAGTGATTCTCGTAGATACAATATCTAAAGGTATTTACACACACTGGCTTGTCTGACCATTAAATTACACATTGAAAACAGGTTCTCTTTCAATATAGCTCTTTAAACGACTCGTAGCTACTCATGTGAATCTGCTCCTTTTAGTTTGTCAAGGACTGAATGCAGTCACTGAAACAGCGCTCATGAAACACCTCTCTCAGGATGCTCTCGCTTTATTCTGTTTTTCAGACTCATTTTTAGTTGCCACCTCGCCTGCTCTCTCCTCCCTCCTTTTCCTTAAGGAAAAGTTGCCTGATACAGCCGGGAAAGCCTCCTCCCAGCCCTGCGTCCAGGTAAGCCCGCACCCTTGTCTCCTGCTCCAGTCTGGCAACACACCAACTCACCCAAACCTGGATAAACCCTGACCCTGCACCGACCAGCACACAGCGCCCACTCCCAGGTTTTCCAATGAAACCCTGCGTGGGCACACGTGGGGTCTGAAGCATCGGGATCCCAATCACCCAAGACACCACAACCCCACTGGCATCAGCATCCCTGCCGGTGCTCAGCGCTGCAGCCCGCTCCTCAGCTCAGGAATACACCACCATAGGGCAGGAGCGAGGAGGGGAAATGGAAAACGGGGAGGGAAAGGGATGGTGGAAAAGCAGCCAGCCCCATCCCTGCACTGGGACACGTCCCAGCAAGAGGCAGCTTCAGTGGCCGGGCTGGCATCAGCCAAACCTCACCCTGGGTTAAGCAGCACTGGACACGCACCTCGGGCTCCACCATGGTGGCAATCAAAGGCAGGCGCTTCAATGCCTCGAGTACTCCTCAAGCTGCAGGGGCCGCGGCTGCACTGGGGTATTTTTAGCCAATGAGTTATCCGATGAATTTGGTGCTATTTCTGTCCCCTGCTCCGGAAGGAGCTGCCAGGTTTGGTCACCTACAGCCTGCTCAGTGGTGGCTGCAGCTCCTGCCAGCCCCTGCCCCGGGCAAGCCTCAGGGAGCACCGGATCCCTTCCCAACATCCTCGGGCACAGCCCTGCACCAAGCATGGAAGCTCTTCCCTGCGAGGGTGCTGAGGCGCTGGCACAGGGTGCCCAGAGAAGCTGTGGCTGCCCCATCCCTGGCAGTGCTCAAGGCCAGGTTGGACACAGGGGCTTGGAGCAAGCTGCTCCAGTGGAAGGGGTCCCTGCCCGTGGCAGGGGCTGGAGCTGGAGGAGCTTTAAGGTCCTTCAACCCAAACCAGGCTGGGGTTCTACAGGCAGGCATCTGCCAGGACACCTCCACTGTCTTCACAGCTCCAGCCAAGTCAGCACCCTGAACCAAGGTCATTCAGCACCAACAAAAACCCCTTCCGGTGACCCCATTCTGCCATCACCGCTGCCCTGCACAGACCAGCCCGATGACAGCCACTGCTGGAGCGAACCGCGACCGAGGAGCTCCGAAACCCCTGAGCTGATGCCTGAGCCCTTTCAAACACCAACCCAACTCCTTGCCCCCATTTAAGGTCACTGACTCTCGCCCCTCGCAGACTCACGTGAACACCAGCTTCCTCTCCGGAATGCCGAGGGATAACGGGGAAACTGAAACCCAGCAAATCGAGGGGGGCGTCTGCACTTGGACAGGGTCCCGACGGCGCCCGCAATCACCGTGCTGGGAACAGAGGCTGCAGATGAGGGAAACTGGGGTGCCTTTATTATGAAAACCAGAATAAAGCTGATCCTGCTCGAAAGGAGCTGCTGGTTCCATACCTGTCCGGAGCAGAGATTCTGCGGAATGTCAGAAGTCGGAGAAACACGTATTTAATAAATAATATAAAATGCTTTTTTCTCTTGTTAAAATAGAATTCTGGGTTTATAGCTACAGAGCACAGCGACCTTTACATCAACAAAATAAAGCTGAGTCCGGGGGGGGATCAGGTTAACACAAAAGAAAATACAGTTGAACAACAGGATTAAAGCAGCCGATGTTCAGTCCACACAATATGTACACCATGGAATAGAAATCAACAGAAAACAAAAGGGATCACCTGGAAATTCCTCAGACATCTGGATATACATCTGGGCTCTGTAGACTTTAGATATTTTCCTTTCTTTTCTTTACAATATTAAAATTAATACTATGCTTTCTCAAAATACACTTCTCAGGGTTTTTTTTCTCTCATTCGTGGAATTGACGCATTCCTTACATTAATCAACACAACTAGAATTATTTACTTGCTACTGTACACTTCAAAGTAATCCTTCCCCCATCCCAGGCACACCTGGAGCGGGAGCATCCCGGAGTGGAACACCTGCATCCCTGCCACGTGCTGGCTGGGGACAGCGAACCCCCTGTGCGACTGCGAGCGGCTGCGGTGCGGGTACGGCCATGGAGAACTGAGGCCTAAAGCTGAGCAGCTGCCAGGGAAAGAGCCACGCACCAAGCTCCAAGTATCCTTCTTCCCATGAGCTAACGCACTGCAAACCTCACCACATGCACTGGGGCCTGATCGCACCCTTGCTGCTGTGCACCATCACACCTTGAGCTGCTCCAACAACCTCAGCCTGTGCAGGTCACAACTGAGAGAAACAGCTTTGCTTTCAGCACCAAACACGTCTCCTGTTACCTGAGCACTGCCACCAAACTCCTGCGCTGTATTCAGAGCACAACCAACCCAAAGCTGTGGCTGCCCCATCCCTGGCAGTGCTCAAGGCCAGGTTGGACACAGGGGCTTGGAGCTGGAGGAGCTTTAAGGTCCCTTCCAACACAAACCAGGCTGGGATCGATTTCCTTTATTCCCCCCCTCCCCATATTTACAGCAACTCGCATCTGACAAAAATATCACCCTACCTCAAGGAAGGGAAAGGGGAAAGGACATGGAACAGTCACAGCTCCTCGAGCAGTGGCTGTGACTCCCCAGCCCAGCTCCGGCAGGAATTACACATCCTTCTCCCATCACATCACTCAGGCGCTTCCTATCCAGGATCCAGTCATTCATCAGCTCATACATCAGACCCAAGGAATACCTGGAAAATAATCCCTGCGCACTGGAGGCGTGTGGCTGTGTCTGGGGAGTGCTGAATATGGCACCGAATTCTCTGGTTTGGAATTCTCTGGTTTGGAATATAAGAAACAATCCCTGAACACGCTCTGAACATGAAGCAGAACATCAGCACGGCTGCCACG